CCCATTATTCCGTAAGGTTCTTGGATTTTTCGGAATCAAGAAAATAATTTCAATCTACTGCTGCTTGATGATGAATAATCACTTTCAAAATGCGCGACCTGAGTTCTTCACCCATGTCACACAGCAGGGTGCTAAAAATTTGTCAGGCAAGTCTAAAAAAAATTAAATTTGTCTGTTTTTTAACCGCGATCTTTACCATATTTTAAATAATCTTTAAAACTGCAGAGCAATTCCAAATTTGAGCTGACCTAACAATTTTGTAGCACGCGTGGAGAACTTCGGTCGTAATAAACGGCACGTTTTCTTTTCGGGATAAATTGATTTTTTTTTCCTCCGAAGAAAAATCTCAGAACCTTACAACATCACGGGCTACATGGTAATTTTTTCAACTGTCGTACCTTTACTCCAGAAATAACCAAGGGCGCGCCCGAGTGGGACAACCCTCGTACAGTATTCAATAAATGAAGATTATTTCCAGAGAAATTCGGGGCTTTTCCATCTTCTTCCTGTGCCACGATTGTATACTATCATGATATTGCCTTTTCGGAAAGGAAATTGTTCCAATAAGGAGCAATGTCGGATGCGTTTCCGTAGGAGAGAAGTTGTTCATGTCCAGAGAGAAACAAGACCCTTGATCATTCCTGTCGCGTGGAGGCTATCGGGATATCTTCTATCATTCGGCGTCTTTATTCAAGTGCACTTTGAGGAAAACATCACCGAAATGCCGATGCGGAAAATGTACCCAATTTTTATCAGCTTCCAGAACACCGATATTTTCCGGGCATTTACTTTTCTATGACCTTTTGATCGTTGTCTATTTGGTAATGAGAGCTTCTGAAAACCTCTGTATCGTCAAAATCGTTGAAGGATTATCGCAATTTCAGGGAATACAGTAATTATAAATAAGCACAAATTGCATCCAAGAAGAAGACCGTTTTTCGAACTGATGTGAAACTGAATGATGTTAAGCACCGTGTAAAAAAACTTAATTCTATCATATTTTGAACTTGTTTTCATTTATAAAACCTGGTTTCGTTGGTAGGAGAAAATAATTTCGAAATACTGTATACAAGGAGTACTGAAGTATAGGCAACTTGTTTCAAAATTGAGATGCTTCGTGCATCATTTGAGCAAGCACCTCATTAAAATAATGCAATTATAGCTCGTCGTCCACTCTTCTCCATTGTTCATAGTACTTCTTATCTTTCTCTTTTCGCTCTATGTAGACAACATCTTTTTTTTCAACTGGAAGAAATACTGTTGAAATACTGTTGTCCGAATCCCTGTTGCATTGTGCACTTGTTCCTCCTCAAGATAAATCTATACGGTACTGTACTAAAGTATCATACTTGTCTTTCTTGAGAGAGATTGTTTCCTTAATAACCTGGCAACAAAGAAGATACTGTAATCCATCTTCAACTACAGTAAACTACAGTACACGTATATTTAAATTATCCTTGAGGAAGCTTATAAAAATCTAACAACATTGAAGAATACATTCTCAGCAAGGAAGATTCATTTCATGACCAATGTAGTCACTGTATAATACAAATTTGTAATTACTGTACAGTAAAATTTTGTTACAAAAAATCCAGTGGGGCTTGGAGAAAAGCTGCATTTTAGTATTAAAAAAAAACTTCTGAAGGAGATGATTCCTGCATGTCCTGAGCATTTTTCGAAAATGCCACGAGACATTTTCAACTCGTTACTTATCCAGCGGACAGTGAATTTAATTTGGAAAACATTTTCTTTTTTTTTTCCTAGGCAAAAACGCGACGGGTGCTTCCGAAGGAAAGCACTGGAGCGACATGATCTCCAAGCCGCGACAGTCCGTGCTCCAGTGGCACAAATTGAAGCCCGAGTAAGCCCGATAAAATTGGCACCAAATCCGCATCGGAAACATCAAAGCTTCAGATGTCCGGAATTCTTGAGATTTTCACCGTAAAATTGAAGAAGGTATGCAACGAAACATCCATCACCCCGGAAATGCCAGCAGTTTTTCCTCCGCTTTCGCGGGGAATTACGGACCCTATAGCTTTCGACAGTGGTCGGGTCGAAGATAGAAAAGCGAAGAGCAGCAGCAAGCAGCATCACAGAACGGCAGGTCAAAAAGGCGAGGGCTTAGACGAAAATATGAGAGATTTTTTCGAGTTTATACGATAGGGCTCGTGATTTTAGCAATTGTTGGTCAGCAGGGAGTAAGTTTAATCTCTGTTCGCTTTCCGCGATGATCTCAATTGGGTAGACAGACGGAGTTACAGGGACAGTAAGGAAAAGAGAAGATGTGTTTTTAGACGCCGTTGTTCCGGATGAATGAGTAAGATTTTGCCTAGAATTCAGAAACCGAGAAAATTAAATTTACAAATAAAAATTGAAATCGCGTAAGCATATATCAACCAGTATTTGCTCGTGAATAAGACGCCTTGTGCACTTTACTTGAGATTCAAATCTAATAACGGCATCAAGAATTGTTAACTTCGCAAATACTGAAGTGTATCTCCTAACCTAATGGCATGTGATACATGCACGACTAAATCTGAAGTTAAGTTTGGTATTATAAGCTGTTCAGCGTAAGAATAAAAATCGTTGCTTTATATTTTAAAGCATAGTACTGTAACTTCTTTTCGGATGTACTTGCATCTCAAATGTTCTTCTGCTGAATATGTGAGCAGTAAAAGTCTGAGCCCTAAATGTAATGTCAGAAGGTTCAAGAAAACATTTTAGTTTCAAGACATGCCAGTAAATTTACGATGTATATAAAGTACATTAGATCGAAGTCTCTCGAAATATACGATCGCTTCTTATACGTGACTCTTAAAATAAGGAAAAGTATCGCAGAATATAAATTCCTGAAAATAATTTCGACAGAGAAAATTCCGCAAATGCTCTGCATTCTCCAAGACGGGAAACGGATAACTCATTTCTTAATGGCCAGGGAGAAACGTTTTGCAAGGCGCGGAAGTTGACAAAAAAAAAAAAGCCAGTGAAAATGTTGTTTTCTTTTTTTACGATGTGTGACCTCGTCTTGTTGCAGCGTGCGATATTTTGAGTGGCATGAAAGAGGTTCAGTTGAGGAAAGCGAAGGAACGGTTTCAAGTCAGAAACGTACATACTTTTGATTTGCCTCCAGATAAGCGTGGTTTTACTTCGTTTTTGTTTTTATGCTAAGACGAATTGCAGTTAACTCGGAAGGTTCAACAAAATCTACATCAATTCAGGGTTTTAATTTTATGAGGCGACCAGAACATATGCCCGAACAGGTTACCGGTACATATCGAATGCAAAAGACGAAGGACGGTTTTGTGGCGTGCAAAATTACAGGAAAGCAGCACAAATTAATGCCCAGGAAATGTTTTCACAGCTCACTTCACGATGATCAATCGATTTTATCGATACCAGAACAAAGAGCTTGTTTTTCACGGATTTCAATATTTTTCAGCAGATTTTTTCCCGAAAAACAAATCGGCGTCTTATTTTGTCAGAAATTTCCATTCCTTATACCTCTTCGGGATTCATCAGAAACAACGTACTACTGTAATTTGGACTTCAGAGTACAGTAAAATACTTGAGAAAGTTTCACTTCATTTCGTTGTACGAATGTTGTTTAAAGAAGACGCTTAGAAATACCAATGAATCAAAGGAGTATTTAAAAAAACTGACACATTTCTGGTACATTTTTTGAGGAGTTGGTGCAGAATGTTTTACTTTCGGGATTGGATCAACTTTTCAAACGCATGAACTTCATTTGAAAATTTTCCTGTCAGAAAATGGAATTCAATTCTTTGGCCCCTATCCTGCACTGAAACATTGCAAGTCATTAAATATTAAACCTCTGAATTCAGGACAGGAAACCCTGCGGCCATTATTAGGAAAATTGCAAGGCAGGAAATTACGCAGACAATCCCTTCCAAAAAATGAAAATTCTGAACTACTCTCGTTAAAAAGAAGTATTAATGCTCAGATCAGCATCAAAAATTGAAATCCTGCAATGAAATCGTAATACAGTACTCTTCTATCTTCGGGCAGTCGGGAGAATGGAGAAGAAATCTTTCGTACGCGCGTAATGTATTAGTGAAACGAGAGTGGCGCGTTTTACTTTTAATTTCTACTCTTATGGTTCAACAAAAAGGATTTAGCTGTGCTGATTTTTTTTTTAGAATTTTCTTTTTTTGAAAGAAAGGAATTCCATTTTTTTTAGCGAAAGAAAGGTTACCGTATAGAGCTCGATGACGAGCTTTGTTCTGCTTCGCGTGAATCTATTGCGTTTTCTTTTTGTTGGGACTATTTGTAGAGGGCGATTTTTAGAGGAGTTTTTTCGCCATCAAGATCCTGAGGGAATCATTCATGATTGAGACGAGGTCGACTCCGAGGTACGAAAAAATGCCGGTCCTGTAAATATATTTTATTTCTTTGGATCGAAATCTTGCTTTCAGTTCACTTCGCTTGTTCTGTGCACTACTGAAGTTATTTCTCACAAGAAATTCGAACAAGATAACGAGAAGCATGACACCGTTTTTATATGCATGAGTTACGAGTAAGGATCCAAAAATCATGAAGTGCTTTCCTGACCAAAGGGATTTCTCATGGGAACTCTAAAAAATGTTAACCCCAAACGATTCACGAGGTCAATTTCTGGATGAATGACCAGTTATATATGAAAACCTCAAGTCTCCTGCACTAAGATTTTTAAAAATCGTGATTTTTGAACTTAGCTATTTATAAAAGCAGGAAACTTCATCAGTTGCTTAATTTGTCGAGCACCTTGTTTAGTCCGCAAGTCGTTTTTGCAAAATGTTTCTTAATAAAAAAATGAGATTCAAAACTCATACTCACCATGGATCTACTCAAAAAGTATGCCAACAATAAGAAATATAATTTTCGGAGGCGAGTGTTGAGCTCCACGACGCATCATGTTTCTTCACAGTTTGTGCTGAAAGGTTCTTAAATTGATAAGGAAAATTATCACGCGCAATTTCGAAAGAATGATACATTTGAAGGAATTATTTAAATTCTCAATATATTCGACTGACGGCAAAATTTTCGACAATAAGTAAAACTGCTCAAAGACGACCCAGAAAGCGTCCAAACACAAGATCAAATCAACAATGCTTTCCGTTCTTCTTCCCAAAGACAAAAAACAAAGTGAAAGAAGAAACCCTAGTCGCTTTCCTCTCACCAATTGAAGTAGTCCTCCGCATTGAAATTTGACAATGGTTGAAATCACCCCGACGACTAGTTTCATCACGACTGGTACAGCGCTCTCAACCTCTCGTTCCTCATCTCACTCGAAAAAATTATCTCCCACTCAATCCCGCGAAGAAAACTTTTCTCCGCTAATCAAACTTGGCTCCATCTCTGCACTAAACTTGATCTAAATAAATAAATAAATAAATCCAAAGCATATCCCAGAACATCACCACGCAAAAAAAAAATCATCATCGTCATAGAAAACACCGTTAAAATTACTGGCAAGAATGTAGGTGACGTCAAACTCGGCGAACAATATACTCTTATGAGCAAAAGTGGCTCTCGGGGACACCAATTCTAAATTTCTCGCATTATTGCGCCAAGGAGCAATTTTCTTTTTTCGTCGCGAGAGGAAATTACGTAATAAAAAGGAAAAGAATTTAGGAGCATCGTACGTTTCACTTCAAAAATACGAACCACTGGCTGTTTCTATGCCACAATAATCGACGACACTGAGAAAATTTCACAGATTATCTCGTCCATATCAACCTTTCTTTGACACGAGCGCTTCGTCTCACACAGTTTTCCATTTCCGATAGCTTCCAAAATTCCGACCATCGATTCGATGGATAAGCCGGTGTTCATCTCAATCATCGCCTTCGTCCTTCTGTTCCAAAACAGCAGAAAGCAAGGGCAGCAATGACGGCTCAGGTTTAACGTGAATCGTCAAAAGGTTGAGGATGAACACAGACAGAAGCTTGTCGAGTGGGTCCAAGCAACCCCGCTGCAGCCACTTGGGGATCGTGATGCGAGCGTGCCGGAATCCGAGCTTCTGCAAGATGTAATCCACGCCGTAGGGTTCGATCTGCTTCCCACCCCACGATATGAACCTGAGGTAGAGAGATATGAGAACATCACGTCAAATCAGTCATTCAAAGGTAAATGTGAAAGGCTGGAACTGTCGGCGTGCCCTTCATTTCTTCTACTCGAAGAGCTTCGCATTTGTCCAATAAGTATCGTAATAGCTCACGTTACCACGGGATCTTTTCCTTCCGGGATTATAAAAAAAATATTCTGCGCAACTCACACGAATCCAACAGTGGCTGAGATTCACGAAACAAATTGTGATTTTATAAATCAAACGAACGTCAGAGTAAAAAAGGAAACATTGGATGAATGCTTGATTGTCCAACGGGAAAAACTAATGACAGCGCTTCCTACTTGAGCTTTTTGGAATTCATAGCTCTTGAAATTTCAATCTTAGAAAGAAAAAATGTTCAAGCCTCCCTGGTATAATTTTAAATGTACAACGTAAACAAATACACCTAATTTCCCGAATTTTAAATTCGGAATTACGCGGGGACAGACACAAGAGGTCTAACTGACTCCCTGAACCTTTCATCAACTCACTCCTCGTTCCGGCCTTCAACTTCAAAGAGAAAAATCGTAAATATTTCAATTTTTATTAAAGATAGTTAATTGATAAAAATAAGTTATGCAACACTTCCGCGTAACTGTAAATACTTATCTCCGCGCGGACTCGAAGTCCTCGAATTTACATAGTTTCATACTGAAATTATGCCGCGCCCTGTCGATACTTAGGAACTTGGAACATCGGAGACACGTATTTTTCACACAGGGATTTAACGCGCATCCCTAGAATACACATATCTTAAACTGAGAAGATTTCGAAAAACAAATCAGATTCACAGATGATCAATGCAAAATCCACCAAAAACCCCAATACGACGTGAGCATAAAAAAATATATTTTTTAGATAATCGCCGCATACTTTCATTCACTTATCCGTATACATAAAAAGGAAATAAATAATGCTCGGTGGGCGTGTCTCTGGACCTGGTCAAGATAACATTTATAAATCACCAGCGATGCTATTTTACGGCACATCAAATTTTGTTGAATTGTATGGTACAGTAAATACAGAACAGTTGAACATCGATAACTAGAACCTCCCGAAGTCGAACGCCTCCCTTTTCGAATTTTTTAGTTCCTGTCCAGATTCCCTAAGAAACAATGCATTAGAAACAACTTGAAGGCTTCGTCAATCCTCCATAACTCAAAAATTTCCGGAGGCCTTCAGGCTACTTCAGTATTTTATTGACACAGGGAAGAGAAAGGCGATAAAAAATGTAACTTGATGCAATTTGAAAAAAGGGGCGAATGAACTCTTACCTCAAAGTTCAGCATCCTGTCAACTCAGTTAGGAAATAATTTGAGGCTCATAATAACATTGATAACATTGATTATAATTTTCACGTAGTTCTTATTACTTTCATTTCCGAAGTTAGAACACATTTTTGAATAGACAAACGGAAAACGTTACTTTTCAAGATTTGGAGGAAAATAAAAATTATCATTTGAACGTCTGTCGGGGACCAGAACAATTTCGTCTCACACAGAACATTACGAGGCAATCAATCATAGAGATTCTTAGAAAAATTCACAATATTGTGCAGTACTGTATTACGAAAATGCAACATTAAGACAAGCATATATTCAAAGAATTTCAACAAGATTTGGTTTATAACTCGACGAGAAATGAAATTCAATTCGCATTAAATCTTCAGTCCTTCGGGATCAACAATTCGACCAAATCTTAAACGCTTCAACTCGAAATTTTCCACTTCGCTAGACCCGCTCCTTCGGGAAGAATGGGAAGTGAAATAAGGATGCTTCTATAACGTCAACTAGGCATCAACATATTTTCCCTTCACCTCAATTTCAGTGCAGGTAACGAGCTCAATTCAAAGGCAATCTCTTCCCGTCATTCGACGACGACATGCTCAATGGCACTTATACCGGAATACGTCCACCCGTCCACTCGAGGATAAAACAGGGATTCCTCGTGATTGCGGAAAAAGCGACCTGGGCCGTCGTATGCTGAAGTACTGGGTAAGGACAACCACACGAACTCTCCACCATCTTATCCTATTTTTTTTCGTATGGGCATAAGACAAACAGAGGAAGCTTCGAGATTTGAGTCGATGAACTCAGAAGTACTCTGAAGCAGCCTCAGGAGTTCGTTTGGAAGAAGATATATAGGGACTACTTTTCATCTCGATAACAGAGCGAACTCCTTCAAAACTTAGAATATACTCAAACCGGGAGGCAAAAAGTCTCGGACATTTTAACCGGTTTGATAATTCATTTCGAGAAAGAAAAAAAAACTTCCAAGAACACGCTCACAATAGGATCCACATTACCCCAACAAAGTTGAGGTTCCGCTGTCTTTCCCAGGTCACTTGGGAAAATGGCGAGGATTTCTTGTTCAGCAGGAAAAAAAACCTAGCATCAAATCATAAAACAGCCGAAAAAATTTCACTGTTTCACGAATACTTATAAAAGTAATTTTCGATTGATTTTTACAGAACATTTCCGGAAAAATACGTTAGCATCACTAAATGTACTGTGAATTATTTTCACTAAAAACTTGGTTCAAATCTTCAACAATGAATCCAAACCTCAGTGATCAAACAAAAATACATTTTGAAGGCACTGAAAAGAAAAAAGCTTAGGAGAGCACATGTTCCAAAATTTTCTGAAGAAAAGGCACGCTAGTTTAGGACTAGGACCACAAGAGTATTTTTTTAGAAGTGGACTGGCATGCGGTACTTTATTTTTCCTCATACACGAAAGTATTTTTTATAAAAAATAAAATCATTCAAATGATGGAGAAAATCTGCACTAATAAGAGAATGATCCTCAATCCGGATCCCTTCACGAAAAATAATCGCGACCTCAAGTTGAGGTACCACTGTACGCTGTCGATACCTCCATTGAAAATTTCAATTAAAATTCAAGAAATCTACTGGCTTTCCACGCGGTCGAAAATATTCAAAATAAGCTTTTCAATCACATAGAAAACTGCGACGCAGGCAAGTTTTCCCATCGATTTCCACCTCAAGCGCATAGGATTAGTCAGAGGGATGGGGGTACAACGAGACGCAGCACACGAGAGGAAATCTTTCATCAACAGAACCTCATCTCAACACACACACACGGAGGTACAAATCCCACGCTTTTCCCCCTGGACTGAGACGCAACCCCCTGCGGCTATATCTCGCACTTTCCATTGTGTCTCCCGTTGTTCCCCGAGGCACCCCGGTGTACCCACGCGTGATTCCCCGCCGAGAGGAGAAAATACGTTGAGAACAGGAAGTATTTTACACCAGACTTCATTTTCCTTGCTACACATTGAAACCCTAATCTGCCGAGGAAACAAAGTTCCGACCACGGTTTCCCACCTCATCTTACGTGAGCTACTGAACTTTAGCTGGAACAAAACGCATTGTCGGAACTACCGCATTCAAGAAGTTTCGGCTTCGTTCATCCGGTTCCGCTCCTCAACATACAACAGTAATTCAATAGAAGTGTTGCAAAAGTTGGAATAATATACCGGTATTGCATACTCAAATTTTTCACATAATCAGAGGGAGAAATGCTCGTCAGAAAAACTCACCGGGTTCTACGATGGATCAAAATTAGCGAACCTTCTCGAAATATTTTTGAAGAGAATAACTTGTTACACTGGCTTTTTCACAAAAGATAGAAACCGTGTACTGTAAAATTTTTTAAATATCTCGAGGAAAAAGGCGGATTTTTGATGTCGGCACTCCAACTGATTAATTACATGGTACTGTACTTCAACCGAAATAGAACAGAATAGATCATCAGGTCATTGAAAAGGATCATTTTTGGCACCATTTCTCACCTTTCTATTTCTGCCAGCATATTTCGATATTAAGGATGATAGAAAAAACACGAATCAGCCAACTGCGCAGACCCACATTCTCACTCTCATCAATCCATTATTCCGGAGTAAATTTTTCTCGATTTCCTCCGAAGTCTCAGGATTAAAAGCTTCTAAAAACGTTACGAGATCATCGAGAAGGATCTTTCATGTCGCTTTCATTGATGTCGCAAAATCACTAGACTGCTAGTAGAACGGTTTTGAAATTGTGGAGTTTCCAGAAGAAAGTTCCACAATCGCCATTTGAATAAATCTGCAATTGTTTGATGAAAAGAGCTCAGACGTGTGCGTGAAAAAATTGATCACTAAAAAATTGTGCGTTCAACTTGTTTCTGACTTGTGCGAGGAAAGTAGATACTTATCGCACATAAATTGGTGAGAATTCTCGAGAAAGGGCACTGGATCAGCCGCGACCGGAAAACGCATCCTATCACCTCGCGAGCTAAAGCAATTAATTAAACACTGCACAGAACCGTAAATATACTGTATAAGGAATCATGCTCATGTATAACACAGTAAATGAAACGCAAGTGCACTCCACAGATCCTCACAACCAGAGATGACTCAAGTAGCAGATCTGAGAACTCCAGATGGCGCTGAAGATAACAAAATACCTCTCGCCCTCGATGTGTATTGCACCAATTTATTCAAAATGACAAATTCAGTTTATATTCTTGAAATCGTTGAATTTAATATTGAACGTTTCGAAGCCATATACGGTATTTATTTAGTCTATGAGCACAAGATTACGTCAGGAAATCGAAATATCGAATAAATGGATTATGATAAGGATGTCTGCGTGTGATTGGGAGAGGATGATTTTTACAATTTTGAACAATGTTCAAAACTTTTATAACCGTCCGTGAAAAAGGGTACGAACTTAAAACCTCATCATGAATATTATTCATGGAGCATAAAAATTTCGAATAGGTGACACTATTTTGAATAATTTTCCAAAATTACTTCCAACGTCATTCTACAAAAAATAATCAAGTATTGAACACTCAGTTTGTGCAGTTGGTCAAATCACTGGAGGGGATTTTCAAGATCAATACAGTATACTGTATCCTTTAATCTTTTCTATGTAATGTCCCGTCGATGTGATTTTGATACCACAGATGACAGGTGTAGAAATTCCAACACATATTCGCTATTTTTTTCAATAATTAACTCGGAAGTGATGGTTTTCCAGAATTTCCTACAGCGTCTGAAGGCAACTGGCTGCTTCAAAAATTTAATAGAGCCTTCTCGAACACTGAACCCTTCGTGCCCACGAATAAAACTGGGTAGTCGACTTCTTTACATTGAAAGGATGAATAACTGAAGTAAGCAAGGAAATTAGAAACCGCTTCAGCATGGGCTTCACTCGAGAAATTCGAACTAGGGGCTGAGTACTCTTGGCTTTCATAATGCGTTCCCCAAATCCAACTGAAATCCTTTCGCCGAGGTTATTATCCAGAGCCTTTGGATAGAGTGTCCTCCATTCTCTCAAGGACCATATCGTATGAACTTGGTATACCTCAGAACTTTCGAGAAGATCGAAAACATTTTGAAAATACTACGTGTACAGTATTCGGCTCCATCGTCATTGAAGATCCCTTTTGTTCGATAAATTGATTTATTTCCACAAAGACCACAATCCTCGCCTTCCAAGCAGAGCTTCCCAACCATTAAAAAGGTATTCTCCCACGCAACCAGCTGAATTTCACCTCAAAGGATTCGTACCTCTGATGATTCCGTCCGCAGACTTCAACCCAGCTTCTCAAAAGGACAATTTATCCGCAGTACAGTTGAAATGAGTATGCATGGCTTTGTTCTCAGAGAGATTGAGCTTCAGGGCTTCAATCTCACTCAACGAACAAGGGAACTCGGGAGCTGGAGGATAACCCGGGTACATCCAAGGAAACCCCAATATGCCACGCAACCACAACATCTTTCTAAATTTGGTGCAGCCTGTCGAGAAATCCCCGTGAAAGTTACGCGGGATATAACGTACATTGCTTCACCGGGCACTTGCAATGACGCAAAAATAAAATGTTAAGAATCAACTTTCCATCTTACTTTAAAAGCTACATCGGATTCCATCCAACTGAAGTTACTTAAGCGTTCGTTAATTTAATGCGAAAAATCATTAGGTAAATACATTAATACAACGTGAAAGATGAAAATACCGTAGAATACCGAAGTGTGAATATCATGATTATTCGTTCCATTGATTCTCGGTTTTCTTTTTGATGCGTTTTTTATGAATCGTATCGATCTGTCATACACGGTTTTCCATTCCATTTACTTTAATCAACACAAAATCCTTCAAACGTTCAGCCTCAGATTTCCCTTCCGAAAATTCTGCAAATCATTTGGAAAACTGACGCAGAAGATTTCCTTGCGTTTTATTCGGGTGTGTTCATTTTTCAAAATACACAAATCTAAGTCTTCAGTTGTAGCTTTAGATCAGGCGACTCCAGGGCAAGAGTACAACGGGGCCCAAAATGCTGACACAGTTCAACCTCCTGACAATTTAAACTCAAAAAATCTACTCCTACAGTTCTGTAAAATGACTCAAAGATGGGAGAACTTCACCAGAAGCTCCAGAAACTGAAAAAATTATTGTAAAAAATTGTGAATTGAGCTTTTGCTGTGAACACAGGTGAAAATAAAGCTTATTGCATCAACTTCATAATTTATCTTTATTTACTAGCAGCATGGGAATGAAATTCATGAAACTTCGAACTATGAGAGATAAGGTACAATATTGTCGGTTTTCTGAGTTTAAAAATATCCCCTTATGTTGAAAACTAACCCAAGATAAAAAATAAATTTGAATAGACCAATTTTCATGCCAAAATTTAAATAAGCTAGGTTTCCTAGCTTATTTAAAAAATTACAACTGTACTTCCAAAATTCAGAGGGAAAGTTGCGCCCCAACATATTGAGCCCTCAACTCAGCGCTGAATCAAGGCCTGTAAAATGCATATTCAAGGATATGTGGCAAAACGCTCCACAAAGAATATGCCCAGACTGAAAACAGCGGCTATGCGCCAGCACAGATCAAAAGAAATGGTCTCATTCAATAGTTATAGCCCGTATTTTGCAACAAGGCGAAGGTCGACTTCCGGTAACAACAGAAAACTTGGGCCCATGCAACCTTTTCCCGTCACCTTTGGCGATTGGATGTTAGGTACATAGCAGAGACCAGAGGGACAAAATTCGCAAAGCGAGCTTTCACCATTGATACCACTGAAACAATCGCTCGACATCCAAAATCGTACTTTACTCGCACCGGGGGGATTTGGCATCAATCCAAGAAGTGTTCGGCATTTCGGAAAGAAAACACTTCTGGCCTTTCCAAAATAATTCAGCCATTCAGAGTGACTCATTCTGTTTCAATCAAACGGATAACTGAGAGACACATTTTTATTCCTCAGGATGCCACAATTTTTCCGCATAAAATGATTAAAATCCCATTTCGATCAACGAAAATGATAACAGAGGATGCCGCGAATGTTCGTCAATTTCTCAAGCGCGAGTCATAGTATGAGAAGGGCCGAAAATGGCCCTAAACACAGAAAGCTTTTGGTTGTCAACATGATGCAAGGATTGATTACTTTTTACTGACTTCTCTCGGACAACTATCTCTGAATTAATACTCACGTTGAAAACTTGCCGAGAACATCAGATTTTTGCGGATAGAGTAGCACGTGTATTACCATGCGTTTAACGACACAAAATGAGTATGCTCGGGTTGAACGTGAATTTGGAGGCTTTTCAAAAGTTCTCCAAATGGGTTGTCGTAAAAATGTAGGCGCGGGCTATCCCAAGACGATACGTGTTCAACGGACCCTTATTTCGTGCAGAGGAACGTTCCGTACTTCTCGATGTTTCCGTCAACCTCATCGACTTTTATTTTTATTCCTACACTCGTGAATTAGTATCCAAACGAAGGAAGAATGTGTGCATCATGTTCGATACAACAACAGTCACGGGAAAAATGGGACTAGGCGGTTTCGTCAACCCCTCGTGTTCTCAGGTTACTCACCGAACGGTGGGCTCCATTTGCCAGTGCTTGCAAATGAATTCACGTGCATCCTTTTGTAAGATTTCCATAGGATCAATGCTTTGCTGGCGATTCACTCTGCGCTGCTCGCTTCCCACATTTGCACCGCTTGAGCGCTGTGCACTTCCGGTCGACTGCGCTTTATCGTCCCCCGCTCCCGTCGTTGTCTAGAAAAATAAAACACGATCATCTGAACGGAGGCTTCCAGAACACACTTGAAATTTTTAATTGAGCATAAAATGGTAAAATAACTCGAATCATCTACTGAGAATATTTTTGCAGAACTACAAAATTAAACCAGACCGACCATAGAAATTCCAACATAAACATTTAACCAAGAAACATACGAATAGCGAACAAAATATGAGGATCACAGGAAAATATTTGAACCAACGCTCAGTAGTGAGTTTTTAGCGTCTCTTACCTGATCGCTTTCCTGCACGTAAGACCGGATCAGGTCATGCAGAAAGAAAAATCCTTGCGCATCCACAGGAACAAATATGTGGTCGTCGAAAGCAGTGATGAACTTGCAATTGACCAACGGCTTTGTTTCTGGAAGAATATACCAAGATTTTTAAAGTTAAAGAACTTGCTCATGAAATATACTGAGTACTGTAATTACAAAAGAATACAATTTTCAGTAAGAATCTTCATGATTTGCGATGACGCATTCGTATATAATTTTTCAACGAACTCTTCCAATATTTCCAGCCCCTTTTATGTGAAACAGCAAAATCAAAATCCGTTATAAATTCGACAGGAGTGTTGCTGAAAAGCAGGATACAGAAAAATCCTTTTTCAATTTAAGAATTCAGCGAGTTCAAAAATTGATTTTGCTTCCAGCGTGCAATGTAAAAATAGTAAGTAAAAATAATCCGAATGATAAGAACAGTGGTTGTTGGTTTCACAAATTTCATCCGTTCTAAAAAAAAATTCCAAAATTTTGGGTAAAATGAGTGAAATTTCTTTTCCTGTCCGTCACAATCGACCCAAGAACTCCTTCCAGCAATTTTTCAAACTTTTCCCGTCATTTTGTGAATTTGCATGCACATCACCAGCTCTAAGAATTAAACGAAGATTCGATAAAATATTTAGATTTGTCTCTAATTAAATTCTGATGATAGTCGGGGGATTGATGGGTAGATCAAGAACGTGCAGCAAAAAATATTCTAGAAAGTTCACAAATTTAAAAGTCAGTTTTCTTGATGGACCCAATCCGTCATACCTCCATCTTGCGGTGTTGGTAATCGCTGGACGTGCTCAGTAGTCATATCAAGTTGCATTCCGGGCAGTGCAAAGATAATTTCAGACGACTGATGGTAATCGGTAGACGTGGATGGCTTTACAGACGCGCCTTCCTGCTTCGCAGCACTTTCCATCACATTCACTCCTTGTCTCAAACGACACGTGTCACTTTTTCGCTTTTTTCCCTCGTGAGAGTCAGGAGGTACCGAAGTCTCACTCGGATTGGGGAACCGGTCCACATCTGTGAAGACGGGAGGAATGAAGAAATCTTTGAAAATTCCACGAGTAAAACTCATGATAAAACTCACTGTCCAAGAGACCGGTAGCGAATGCATAATGGAACCAGTCGTGAATCGTTCGACATTTCGGCGGGAAAGTCATGGATCTAGAAATTCTGCAAACTGTCGCCATACTTTCTCCAGTCTGACTGCCAGACTTCCAAACGACACGACGTTCGCCCAAAGAGAACGTCAACTGCTGAACAACGTGCGTCCCACATTGTTCTAGAAACATTTGGGAAGAGCCAAAACCAAATTTCGCTCATCATTTTCTGTTTTTTACGTCCACCGCAACCTTTCATTGCTTTTGAATTATTTTTCCAACATTTGTTTTATCATCATGCAAAAATACAGAACTGTGCTGAAGTGTACAACGTTTCCAAAAAAGTATACTGACCTCAAAGCCTCGGATTTAAAAAAAAAATCACCGGCTCATTTTCCGAGTACAAAATTCGTTGAAATTTACTTGGTAAACTGAAACTTTCGAACCGTTATCTAAATTTTAAAAATTATGAATGCTGAATTGCGGTGATACGGCTGAACATAGAAACCAGTATCACTTTCAATTCCTGCAGAACTACTGACCGGAATCTCTCGCTGGCTACCTTGAAATTTGAATTTCGACAATAAATATTTACAATTCATTCTACAAATGATTACACTGTAGCTGCTAATGCTCGGGATAATAGCCGATTTCGAAGAATGCTGCAATGGCTTACTTTAAGAATACAATACTGTAAATCGTACGTTCCGAAAAGGCGTTACCGCTACACTATGGAATTTACAGTAAAATATTCCCGTGTTTATGTTTGCATTACTACTGGAAAGCATATTTAATTGACCGGGGATTATCAAAAATTATTTCATTCTTAAAAACGTGAACTCATAACAGCGAGACATTCCTCAAGTTTCTGAAAAAATTCGAGGGAAAAACTCACCGGTTCCGTGTTCCACGATCGCACCCGCATGTGTGCTTGGGTTTTCAATCAAATCCTGCGCTTCGGTATTGAACGCAATGAAGGGCTGCTTCAGCGAAAACAAAGCCCAAGACTGCGAGCGGAAATTCAAACCATGAAAGCAAGCTAAAGAAATGGTCGATCCGTGCATTTGAAGCGATCCGCCCAGCACCATGGGCTGAGCAACGTTAGCTCCTCCATCCAACGATGGGATTCCGAATGCCCGACGAACATACGTCAACGCTTTCTGCCAATGCCGATGCTGGTTCAATGGATCTTCCTCCCGATTATCTGAAACTTCACAAATAAATACAAAACGTATATGAAAACCTTTTCAACATCAGGTTCTTTCGACAAAATAGGATTATTACAACGTTTGCTTTCAATGAGCAAAAACAAGATGAAAAATCGGGGAGATTCGTTTTGATCAAATTAATACAACGTATAGTGCTGTACATTTCAAATGCAGTACAGTTCTGTACATGCATAGACTGTAAGCCCAATGGTAGCGAATTTTCAGTAAATAAGTTTACACTTGGATCTGAACAAGCTCTTGAATATCTCCACAGATCAATTTGATTCTATAACAAACCAACGACAGAGGATTAACCACTTAAAGCATATTAGAAGTTCTGAAAACGGCCGGCAAACTGGCATCTCCTGAGCGATTGGATCCCTTACATTGATCACAATTTAAATAAGCAGAAATTAGTCGACTGTCGAGGATCCAAATTTTTCAAAATAAAAAAACGGAAGAAATGAGCGCTGAAAAATGACGCAGCATCAAGACAGTTTTGTTAAAATAAAATATACACACTTGAGATCTTTTCAACAAACTTCTTTCGAAGTTCCAACAGAAAATCAAGAATTTTAAAATGCACTCAAGTGCGAAATACACGCGAGCTGAATCTGTCGATGCCATTACAAAAGAATTTTATGGAATTCCCACGTAATGTTGAACAATGAAGCGCTGCATTACCATCACCAGGGGCTCTCGCAACGCTTTCGCGTTTCATCGGCATTTGCTTCCCAGGAGTGGACGAGAATTTCCGTCCGAAGGATGACGGATGCGGGGACGAGCTGGCCATGTGCTCGCGTCTATTGGAGTCGTGCTGCAAAGAAGAAATGACGATTCGCCCGGAGTGCAGCTGCTGCGAGATAAACTCTCGGAGCTTGTAATACATCTTGAGGAGCTCCGCAGTCGTAGATTGCGTGATCATCAATTGAAACTGGTCCCATTCCAGCATTCCGCACAGATGTATCGAAGACGGCCTTTTAAAAATTGAATTCACGAAGTTTATTCATTTAAATATTTGAATCAATACCCTCAATTTGGTGCACTGAATGTCAAAATGTCACTTTAGATGCTGCACTATGCATACTTTTTAATGCTTGATCATCTTGATGAATACGTTTTAATGCAAATCATAGATCATTTTGATGCACATATTTTTAGCCACATGGCGAATAAGGCATGACGGAGAATTGAAACACGACTTGAGGATGCTCATTTATTCTAAGCTTATGAAAGGAGCATTAAAAAGAAGTTTGGGCGCACTTTTGAGCTTACAATCAGTCGTCCGACATGTTTGATGTGCGTAACAGTCACTCACCTTTCATTCATTGACGGGTTGAGTGGAGGAGGCGTAACTTGACTCGTAGTCAATGTTGAATACGGAGAGGGTGTGACAGCCCATTGGTCACGCAGCGTGACTTGCAACGAAGAAACTCGGCCCATCAGCACAGATGAGCCAACGTTTTCTACGGTAGCTTCAACGGCAAGGAGATTCACACCAATGATATGGTTCGGGCACATTCCAGGATCAGCTTTTATTCTGACTGTTGATCAAAAGGAAAATTTGAAACACTTAATTCGAGCGCTTCCAAAAACATGCGTGTCGAAAAAAAATGTAAGCCACCCGAAAAGTACAATACTTTTTACAATTGCTGGTGGCAAAGGGGCTCAAAATTGCATACATATTTGCCATCCAAATCCTTAAAATAACTTTTACACCCTTCAGAAAAAAAGCTTTCAAAGTGACTGTCAAATCGAACCAGATTGTATCGTCCGTAATACTTACGGAAAGTGTTGATGCAACTCAGGTCGACGTTTCCTCCCACAATGCCTCCTTTGGCGTCCAAATTCGAATTTTCCAGACCAACGCCGATGTGAATTTCTTTGTGTCCCGAACTACCAATACTCAATCTTCCGTCAGCTAGGAAACCTTGCGTCAGCCATCTGCAAATGCAGTGGGCAACTTAAATTGCGATCTCACCAGGAAGGAGCGGTCAAAGCACTTACAATACATTCCCCATAACGTTGCTCATGTTCATTTGAACACTGAGCTTCTGAAAGTTGACAGCAAACAGAACGAGTGTCTCCCAAGTTGGGGCAGTGGACGAACTGTTCGCGGACCTATGGACGGATCCATCGCCTGATTCTCTACGACGTGTATGATCTGCGGTAGCCTTTTCCGGACTCAGCGGTAGAAACAGTGAAACTCCTGATTTTAAAATAAACATGAACTCAAACTTTCGCACTCACAAAATAAAAAATAAAAATCTAATTCCTGCAAATTCAGAATTACATAAAAAATTAGAGACCTTTTGCCGTTCCTCTTCTACCCGAGGGGAAAACAAAAGCGAGTCCTTCGTCTCTGCCTTTCGAACTGGAATGAACAGATAAAATTGCAACATTATCACATGACGATAAATGGATTAGGCGCCAATCGAGTGACTGGAACGTACCCAATTTTTCGGCTATCTTCGGAGACGTCGAAATCTTTTGGAGATCTCGCTTCCGCATTTCCGACAGATGATGTGGACGAAATTCCGGACCCTGATCCTTGTCTAACCATGACGTCACCCAAAAACAGCCTTCTGACGATGCTACGCCTGTACCACGCCTTCGGGAAGCCAAGAATTTCTGCAAGCCTCTTCATGTCGTATTTGAAAGTGGCACTTCCGATATCCACAATAGCTAGGAACAATCCGACGCAATCAAATTAAAATGAAAGGAAATTCGCGCGCATGGAATAAGAAAGCGAGACCCTCGCACAGACATCAGTGTTTCCAATATATTGTACACGTATGAACTATTCTTGATGAAAATGGTCCATCCCACACAAAAGTATTCGAATTTCACGATGATACTCGAGTTTAACTCGAAAGATCAACTCACTCGAGCAACGCACAACTGCCTGTGGTTCCCTCGATAACTGCTGGCCCGGAAGTGATCGAAAATTCGGATTTCCATCAGTTCCGGGGGAGTGCGAAAGAGAGAACGACCCTCGTGAAGGAATGTGCTCCAGACCGCCCGGCTTATTGAGTTTTCGACTTCGAGACAAATTGAATTTCACGAATTCAACCTGTAGGCTCAAGGAATCTTTCCGATCCTGCGAGGATGCAGCAACCGACGGAGTTTGAGAAGAATTCATAGAAGAATCGGCTAGCGTGCGGAGAAAACGAATATTAAATGGCGATTACGCAAGTCAATTAAGACACATTACCTTGGATTTTTTTCCCGTATGGATGAAAGATGTAAAGCGAAAAATCCGCTAAGCAACCAGTGACACTGTATCCACCGATGTTCGCATTTGACGCCGGTATGAAATCGCCGAATTCCCTTTTTAAAAAATGCATAGTTTTATCCGGTAAATATTTACCGAGTAACCAAAATCCAACAAGACGAACAGATTTGAACTTCTACGCACGAAGCTTATGATTTTTTCGTTTATCTTTTTTAAACGTTTTTCAACTAGACTCACTTGTGAAGCAGGTCGTCTTCGGGTTTTTTCGAAACGATCAAATCCAGTGACGGTAGTTTTAAAAGGCATTCTACTTTGGAAACTGGTTCACAGATAAATCTGAAGACCGAAGGCTTCATATGGAACGAAACCGTGGTGTCCACTGGGAAGCTTGAGCCCACGAAGTAGATTCCACTGTTTCCGGGGGCATCCGCATCATCTTCGTTGGGCATTTCATCATCGTCAGCTTGGTGTGATAAAATTAAAAATACGAAATAAAAACATCGTTTTAATTCTGAAAATGCGTATACCGGTAAAAAGAAATTGCGAACTACCCAGACGGGAAATTACAGGGAAACTTTCCGGATACTCACCAATGATTTTCACATTCGGGACCTGATGGTTGGGTGAAGGCAGAAGGCCGACCGCATACGGTTCTTCTATATTCGTCGCTGGCATTGGAATTGGCTCCAGGGCCTGAAAAAATGCAGGTGAGAAATAAATGCTACTTTTTCGTTCACTGAACCATGGCTTACCTGCTCCAAGAAGTCAAGAATGTGCGGAGAAAGGACGATTTCCTCAGGGACACTATGGATATTCAAAGCGGCGAAAATTCTCCCCTTCTTACCTCCGCTAGATTGAGAATACTGAGCACCCGGAACTATCGCAGATCGATTTTTCGCTCGACTTAATGAATGGCTTGAACCATGTGAGTCTAAAGAGTGTGAAACTTTCAGACGATCATTGGATGTACTAGTCGAGGACAGAGACGAAGTTTGTTTCGAGTCTTGGCGCGCTTTTGGGCCTTTCATCATAAATGCGGACTTATTCGCCGGGCCAATTCCAGCGCCATCTTCTTCTTTGCGGGTACCTTCCTCCCACTCCGTTTTGGACTCATAATGTACCTAAGTAAACATGTGAAACAATTTGATGAAGACATAATTTGTCAGGTTAGATTCATCCTTAAGTATCCTCACCTTCACATCGAGGCCTGGAACCAAAATCGTTGTCGTGTTCCGGGCTGCAGTTCCGGACGCTGCAGCACTTGCATTTCCAACATTTACCGGAGTCAGCGTCGACAAACTTAATCCTCCGATGTTTCCAGGTCGCAGTCGGGAGCCTAAGCCGGAACTACTGTTATCTCGGGGCTTTCTTCGTCCGGACGGAGAGGCTATTCCAAGCTTTGCATCCGCTCCAGCCGTATCTCTTCGAGATCTATAAAAAAAAATTCATCAGGAAATGATAACGAGGCTTGAGCCTTTACATAATCTACAGGATTCTAAAACAGCGCAGGGGTTCATCGGCCTTTTTTTTTTAAAACAAATCAGAACAATAAATTATGCTTTACTCGAATTTTTTGATACAGTATTATATTACCAGATCAAATGCCGCAGCGCACTGAAGATAAATGATGTACAATTGAACTAAAAATCATGAAATACAGGAGCCCATAATATTAAGATCTTCAAAAAACGCAATAAATTTTCCATGCCTGTGCTTTGCATCGTCAGAGGCAAAAACATGTTCCTTGGAATGCAACACACAGCTTCCACTGCTGATCAGAACAGTGACGTCAAGTTCGAAGTCGAGCAACGGCTCAGACATTACACCACCACCACTGGCACTCGCAGGTAGCCCACTTTGTCGGTTGATGGAATATCCGAAGTACTTTTTTTCTTTTGATGAACTTGAGAAAAAGGGAAGAAAAATACAATCAAAAAAAGCAAGAAGATTTTTAAATGTTCAAAACTTACTTTGTCGGTTCGTCGCTCGGAGGGTACAATAGACGGGGCCGAGATTTTCGGCTCTTATCTCTATTTGACCTTTCGCTCTTGATTCGTGTGCGCTCTTCAAATTTTTCATCCATACCGTGTCTTTTCTTCACAGATGAATTTCCATCGAACACATCTTCACTAGGTGATCGCTCGAACTCGTAATCACTGTCATCGTACTCTGAATCGGATCTACAAGCATATCAAAAAATTAATCTTCTGAAAATGTAAATCATCAACAATATGTTACATTTTTATAGACGGACTTCTCGATGAACTATCCACGGCAATTTTTGGAATGGATGAAGCCTTGCGTCTAATTGGTGACGGACTCTCCGAATCGCCGGAAGTGTCACTGCCAGGTATTGTCCTGTGTGAATGAAAAGCATTGAAATCTATATTGGAAGTATCAAGACAGCTTCAGAAAAAATTCCGGTTTTCCAGAGAGGGAACTCGTACCACTAGATACATCATTCAAAGCTATGACATTTCTTCGTGAACGATTAACTGCTAGTCGGGAGAACCATCACTAAGATTTAATTTGAGCAAGCAATGACTTACGCAGGAAGAGTGAAATGCCTGTCCCAGTCGGCATACGGGGAAGAACCCGGAGAGGTGAACGATTTCGAAGATTTTACGGGACTCGCCGGCGGTAATGGTCGATTGTCTCGAATTGACGGGGCTCTAACACTCTGACGGCGCAACTTCTTCATCCATCCTTTCCTGACCTCTGAAGACATAAATTTCTCCAACTCCCGGATTTTCTGCAACTCAGCATCAATCACGGCTCTTCGAACACCAGCCTCCCGCAAATCGTTCACTTTCTTCACCATCGCAGCCATTTGCGACTCACTAAGCCTTGAGCGCTCCCTCTCGTCTAGTTTAGGGTCCTGGTAGGGAAAGAGCAGGCACATCGTTAATTGATTACACAAAAATCGAAAGGGGTCCGGAATTACGTTTTTCCTATTCGTCGACGACAGTTACACAGGAATCTTCGACAGACAGCTTCCAGAACAATAAAGCAGATAAATCGTTGAAAAAACGTATCTCTCGTAGGTTTGCGAAGAATAGTGCTCAAATAATTGCTTTTAGCAACTAAACGGCTTAACGAATAGGTTTAATATATTTTCATTTACTGCTGCTCCAGCAATACTAACGTCAGATGTGGACTGTGGCATGTTGGCTGGTCCCAATGCGTCACCATTTAGATCTTCCATTGGCAAACCCATGGATCCATCCTCATCAGCAACTTCGGTCAAGCTCGTCAAAGTATATGCTAGTGCGGATAACTGCTTGCCTACGTCTGTGTCCAAATGAATATCCACTCCATCCATTTGCCAAGAAACGTTCAAGACCCATTTGGGATTCCCCCAACCTGATTTTTTTTTAAGAGAGCAAAACCTTTACTTGCGGTTTTCAGCAAAACATATCGATTTTGCGAACGTGAAAGATCAACGCAATGATTGCATAATAAAATTAACACAATAACCACACGTGAAAGCGCGAGTACATGTGGGTTCGGACGATGCAGAAAAAAGAAAAAAAAAACAAGAAAAATAGGAAGGACAAGAAAAACAAGAAGAAAAAACTTTCCGCAATTTTAGGAGTTGCTACCGGAGAAAAGGAAACAATTTAATGTTAAATTGCGACGAAAATTGCCTGACTTGCGTAGCAATTGTTAATAAGGGCAGACTTTCGTCCAATGAGAATTAACGAACAAACTTCTCAGTGCATCAGATTTTTAGAAAGGCGAAACCTTTCTTTCGAAACAGAAGACCGCATTGATTATCAGATAGACAATCTTGTAACTTACTTTCAGCACTTGTGGTTCGTGAGCAAACTTGGTAGGTACCCGAGTTTACGACGCAAACGTTCATGAGGCCAGGGTCATTCCAGTTGGGTTTCCATTCCGGCTCGCTAATGTCGAACTCATCCTCGAAACGCATACATAAACTTTCGAAAGCGCCGTTACTGACCATGGCACCATAACTGCATGCAGAAATGCTTGTTGATTCCAAAGAAATCATAACAGCTGCACCACTACTGAGGTCCAATGATCGACCACCAGCTCCGATCTGGGTGCTTGTCCCCGGCAATGCACTGCTACCGGGCTAAAAAATGAAATTTATTTTTCAATAAAATCAAAGGAAAAAAGGTCGTCAAGACCTAATTTTAAATTACTATATTCTTGATCAAAGCAAAACGGCAGAAGTTTACCTGCGTCGTTCCACTTCGCTGCCCAGCAGAGCTGAGTGGAAGGCAAATGCCAATATCCCTCACAGTGAGCTTCAAGAACAGGTAACTCGCCTGTTGACCAGCCAGACTAGCAAGATTCGGAACTCGTTCCATGAACTTGAAAGAAATGAAAAGCAACGGCACGGATAAGAACGCAGAAACGGAAGATCAGAGACGTGGTATAGAACTGTTTTCTTTTTAAAAACAAATATGCGGGCATTTTAATAAAATACCTGCTGCGTTGCCAGAAGCACTTCGCGCTTTAGCGTTGCACGTTGCTCAGTCCAGTATTCATATGCATTGCGATAATTCAACCAAACCATGATGGCGCGATCGACAGCAACAGGCAAAATGAAAATGCGCGGTTTGTCCATGCTGATCAAAATCACATCTTTCCCAACCACGTCTTGCCAAGATTCGGGCCCCAATTCTTCTTGAAACGCATTTCGCAGCACTACAATAACATTGAAAAACTCAATATTTTGAAGGCGTGAAAAAATCGTAATTCAACCAAATTATACATATTTTTAATATAAAATTCCCACGATGGGTAAAATAAATATGAGCAACTCTTTTAGCTCATCAAATCCCATACCGATCTGAGTTTTGAAAAAAGCGAATTGTTGAAAATCTGCTTCGGAGATATTTGACGCTGGAAGGCCAATCAACTGTCCTAAGGCGACATTTACATGCACCTGGGCATGATAAAATAGACGAACAGAACCGGTGTTCTCCACGCGGTTCGAGATTTGTACTTCTATTTTCCCAGTTTGAAAACGAACAGCACTGCTCGTGGGAGTTGTTGCGGTCACTTGTATCCCCTTCAAAAAATGAAAAATACAATAAAAATTCCTATATTCGATTCTTAAAACGGAAAACGCTTACATCAAACTTCACCGCGAATAGGTAAAGCAAAGACGTGTCGTCCGAAAATGCGTTCACTCCAGAGGAAGGTTGAGTTCCTTTGCTCAAAGGGTCTTTACTATGCTTCAATCGAACATTTCGCTTTTTCTCCCCATTATTGGCGTTGTAGGCATTACCAGACGTCATTTTTTGCAAAACTTCGTTTACTTCTTTCATAAAAACTTTTTGCACGAAAACGAGATGATTCAGAACATCGGTTGTGAGGTTGTGAACTAAAGCTCCTATTCGAACTTCGGCATTCAAGTAGTTCCCTTTACACAGAAGCATCCCATCTGAAAAATGAAAATGAACATGAAATCGAAGCGCGCTTTCAAGTGGGAAATTTTCATGCGTTTAATGAATTAAAACGTTTATAATGTACTCGAGGAAAAGATAATTTTAAAAACAATTTTCATGAAGAAAATGAAGCCAAAAGAATCCGAAATTCGTTCCCTCACCTCCGAAGGAACGTTCCAAGGGGTTGATCTGATCGTCGTCTTGAATATACCTTGCTAAAACTTCAACTCTTGGGAGGGCAATACTCGCAGATGGAGGAATAGTACTTTCAGGATCCTGCAGCTTCGTGCTGAACGACAGACAATGCTTCGACAGTTCAACAGAAAATTTTGCCTTCGGTCCACTGACTCCAGAACTTTTCACTTGGTCCATAACATACTGAGCTTGAAGCGACGGCAGTAAACTCGCTTGAATCCTCAAAGTCTGTTTTACGAAAAAATGTATCGGAAATTTAGAATCACGAACATTCTACTCTGCGAAGACATCGTTTTTCAATACGTGGAACAGTAAAAAGTGGCTGGCCCATAGAAGTCTACATGGCCCAACAGGTACGGCGATAGGTAGACCGGGTCATAAGCCAATCCGATCATCATTTTATTTTTTTTTGCTGATGCAGTATTCAATACCTTTTTAGAAATTAAACGATTTCACAGACTGGATGAATTCAATCTAACTGGAAAAATGATCAAAAGAATGTAAATGCATTACAAAAGATTGGGCTCATATCAGGTTTCATTCAAAGGTTGGAATGACTTTGCCCTTAGAAACAAATGCAATTAGATTCCACAATGAAGGTAAGGGAATCCAAAAATATTTCAAGAATAATATCAATATAGAGGAGCTGCTCGTTCATTATTCGAGTGCCCGGACGAAAGAGAACAAAATAAAAATAATTCGTCGAATGGAAAAAATCGTTGTCGACAAAATTGGGGAAGATAGTCCACATATAAAAGTTTTCCATCAAAACTGTTGAAACTTTACCCCGAGAGAGATGGAAAAATTGACAACAAACGACGGCTGTAGGAATCCTGGAGCACGACTGGTTTCGCGTCGAGTGGCATCAAGTATTTCATGTACACCGGAATGACTCGCTAGCACATGATCGAGGGCGTCTTGTCCAGATGGCGCCCCACCACCGCTGGAACCACCACCAGCATCTGGGAGCTGGAAGAAATGGGCCGTCCCACTAGAACTCTGCTCGAAGTCGTCCTGAGTTGTTCCACGAGAGAGTCTTGAGGTCGTTCGTTTCACTCGTAATTCTTGTAGGGTATTCGTCAGCTGAGTGAGGTGCTTTGAGCTCCGCGCCATCATAGAATGAAGCACGACAGGATGTTGAGGTATGTCAATTTCGATAGAAGCTACGACCAACTCGGAAACATTTTTTTCAATCGGAGTTTGTAGGGCAACAGTGGGACCACTGGTCAAACGACTTTTCCTAGAATGCTTCCAACCCCTGGACTCATTCTTGTTGGAATACATAGAATCCACTCGACCAACGTCCAACCTCACGATTGTCCTGTCATATTGAAAAGGTTGTGATTTAAATTCGAATTTTATAAATTTACAACAATCGATTAGAGTAAATAGCCTGGAGACAAACGATTGAGAAGTGACTTGCATCATTTTAGGTGGCACTCCTTCGAGTAAGACGATTGAGGTTTTCTTCACCGATGCATTTGCAATGGTCATGGTCGAAAAGTGGTGGACATAAGATGGACCCAGGGCAGAAGGTGTCCATTTTGAAGCAAGCTGGTCAGAAAAGAACCCAGCCGTTTCGGCAGTGCGCTTTCCAGCAGCAGGGGATTGGTCTGCAGCGCGTCGATGAGCAAAGTAACCGCTGAGGCCTCTAATTTCACCTTCCAGCTTCAATCCACTCAATGTAGCTGTGAGGCCGATCCGATTTATGTTTATTACACCAGATATCAGCATTCGCACCTTCTCGGCTGGAGCTATATAAAACCCAAGAGATTTTCTTAGAAAGCGGCATAACGCAGAAATGTTGAGTAGGAAAATTTTTTTTATTTCGAACCTTATTGCGCCTAGGGAAAGAGAGGATAAAAAATACTTATGAATACTGACAAGCTTATTTCACGGGGGATTTCCATCAACTCATTAACTTGAGCATGCACAGCTATTCCACATCTAAGATCATGCATTTAGAACTGCACAGTAAATGCAAGAGAAAACATCTCTACCTCCGAGTCAAGGCTTTATTTCGCGGCTACTGTAAGAATATTGCAACTGCGTTATAACCTTCAAGATTAGCGCCTGCCCGATCACAATTTGAACATGCCCGCGCGAGAAAAAATATTCAAATATACGAAAGGATATTTTCTGTATTCTTGAAAAAGAAAAGAATAGCAAGGAGGAACATCAACAAATGCAAACCAGAGGTAATGACAGTAGAATGCGTCGTTCCCATGTGGTCCTTCAAACCCCCGTCCCTCACATCAGTGCTCGGCGGAACTTTCGTGACTTCGGGTTCTTTATCCCCCGTAACATGCACGCTCCGTAAAAACCTGGATCGCGATCCTTTCCGTAAAAAGGAAGTATCAAGGGAATGAGCGAGGATTTTTCTCTCAAAATAAACACTCGGCTTCTACAAAGAACTACAATGCAAATTGCCGCAATACTTCCAAGACATCCAACATTAAATTATTTACCTGTCCGACGGTGGCCATGTTTTTTCGACGCCTTCGTGTTAACTTGTGGAACATCAATGGAGGACGCATCAGCGTTACCAACTTCTACGTCTCCTTGTGCTGTGTCTTGGATGAAGCTTGATCTCACAGGTGCTTCAAGAACAGCTTTTCTAAAAATGTATTATCAAGTATGTACTACACTGTACTTCCCAATAAGAATTTCAAAATGATGGGGGGAAAAACTTACGTTGCGGACACCGTCTTCGTTTCAGGCGTGATGGCGTACAAATTTATGAGATGATACAGCGATTTCCAACACTCCGGAATGTTCGGTATTGGTTCAACCCACTCCCCCTTTTGAGCATTAATGCGCACAGTTTTCGGGCTGTCGCAGCATTCCACGACATCGCCGAGCTTCTCATAACCTTTGTCTTTTCCACTACATGGCTTAGAAATGCCAACTTTGAGTTTTCCAGGTAAAGACGTCGCGCTCGCAGCCCCAAATGATGCGGAATCCACGTGCTCAACTTCTTCCCGCCAAGCAGAAACAATGGTCGAATCGATTGTGTCGCCGAATGGAACTCCAGAGGTCTCTTTGGCTTGCGATTCTTTACCACCTGCTTCCGCTTCCAAGTCTAAATGCAGATGTAAGAAACCAGATTCTGGAGAAAAAAAACAGCGCGCGTGAGATTAGTTAGGTTTATTATTTAAAAAAAAAAATTTATGAACCTGAGGAAGAATTTTTCTGGTGTCCCAGTCTGTGAGGTACAGACTTTTCCCGCGCTTCCTTCAAATCCTTCTGGAGTAATGCCGCATTCTGACACATGTTCGCAATATGTTGCACCAGTCTTAGAAGCGGAAGATTCACCTATTAGACGAACAGAACATTTTTTTTTACCAGAAGCAAAAAAATTACGAGAACAAAACTGCAAGTGTTGCACGAAAATATTAAAATTAATTTTTCGCGATTCAACCTGAAATGTCACCCGACATGCGTGTGATAATACATTAATTTGAAAATTGGAAATTTCTTATACACGTACAATATTTTATAGTACATTAGTTAGGAATGTTGAAGAACCTTCTGATTGATGCCCTTGATGTCGATCTGCAAGTTCGCCACATTTGAAGTGGAATTCTTCAATTGGCGTCGGGAAAGATACAGCACACCACGAGGCCCTTTCCCTTGTTTCGCAGCCTGGCCGAGACTATTTTGTATTTTCTCCCCATCAACTTGCAAGCTCAGGCCTTCACAAACGAACGCTGGTAGCTCATCCGCCATGTCAATCGAAAAGTTTACTGTAAATCGAAAGGATGGTAAACGCGTCTTAGCGCACACCGAAACCCACTTTTCAAAATACAGTACAGCACTGTAATATTTGTTCAAAAATTGTCCGCTTCAAAAATTCGCATCAACTCACCGCGAGTGTTGTGGTCACCAGAAAGTCCTGCAGACAAAAAAGAGGAGCCTGGTTCGGCAATATGCACACGGATCTGCTCAACTTTGCAGGATACAGAAACCACCGAGCACGGTCCTGCGATTGCTCGTTCAGTCACATCCGCTCCAATTTGCTGAGGCGCTATTCCAAGACAGCTCAAGAAAAACTTGAACACAGAATGAACATCAACCGCAGCAATGGCTCCAGCGGGCATCATAGCAGCAAGGGGGGAGTCTTCGTCTTCGCTATGACAATTTGTGCTTTGATTAGACGTCAGCGTATTCCAACCTCCACTCTGGAAAACGAAGTTGAAAAACAAGAATAAGGCGGTTTGTAGAATGTTTAGTTCGCGCCGTAATTCATGGCCGTCGTCAAAAGCTATAACAGTTGACGATTAAATAAGTCATGCTTTTCATACCTGATCGAGTACTGGGGATACAGGAGTCGCTGGCACTTGATTAACTTGTTGCTCTTGCGCGAATTTCCAGTAAAACTTATCAGGATTCTTCAGAACATCCTCGACTCCACTTGAACCACGCGGGGCATTCTCGTCCCGAGAAACTTGCTGTGAACCCCCTTCCAAGCTCTTGATAGATGATGTATCCACCAACGACTGTGACCCGATGCTCAACCTTCCGTACTGTCCCCCTGTTACGGTGCCTCTTGAAAATCTTGGGCTGAAGTGAGTCGATTCATCCCTCATCATTGCTGATCCTTCAATTTCCTTGGCAGTTGAATCAAGAGGAGTTGACTGCTTTTCTGACGCAACCTTCCGCCATGATGCATCACCAGAAAGCAGGCGAGTGTTGTCATCAGTTAAATCATCGGCGCCGCCCAGGGAATCGAGCGATTTATCCCCCGGCTACGAAAAACCTTCCTTTTGTAACCATTTCTGAATAAAATTGTCAAAAAATAATTTACCGAAAACGGAACACCAGACGGAAATCCCGAAATGGAATCCATCTCGTTGCTCAACGGCTTGTTGACACCAACTACCTCTGCTTTCTGGACGAAATTCACGCGCGATCGCGCTTTGTTCCTGAAATTGTTCTCCAACACCATGGGCACATACAGACCGTGTTTCAATTGCTTCGTTAAGGCAACAATGCCCTAAAAACGAGAAAATTGATTTTATGTAGTCATATGTGGTGAAAGACTGAATTTCACGTACTTTCTTCAATGTGTCCAAACGAGGAAGAAACTTCGGATCTAAACTCTCGGCCAGTTTCTTCGTTTCGGATTCTTGCATCTCAAGGAAATATTTTCGCAGAATTGTGCAGATTTGACAACCAGGGTCTTCTTGAATTTTCCTTGAAATCAAGGACAACAAGCCATGCTTGCTCTGATAAAAAGTTGAAATGCATCAGACTGACGTCCTTTTCGATTTCATTGATAGGGAGCTTACTTTAGCTGGCATCCGAAGATAAACCGGATCAATCGCCCCAGTCATCAGACATGCCACAACCGAATTTCGACGGAGCTGCCACGCCAAAACAGAGTCGCTCCACACAATCACAAAACGGTCAATCGGGCCTTGCCAGGCACTGATAGCCGGTGATGCAGTACTTAGAAAATTCCAATCCAACCTAAAAATGAATGAGCATTTCTTATCAGATGGATAAGATGTCAACGAAACCCGAGAGTAAAGATGCTTTCGAAAAAAATACGAGCGAGCAAATCATCTAAAAATTACCATTTAACGAAAATAATATTTTTATGAAACAACTACCCACTTGCTGAAGTCAACTTTTTTCGATATTCCGCCAGAAGTAGGTGGGGCAGCGAAATTGAACCAAACAGACTCGAAATCGACTGCACAGGTGGTAGATCTTCGTGGGCCAGATCCTGATTTTTGTCGCTTCCGACGTTTAATGGTGTCTCCAGTGCTGGGCGGCATCTTCTGGTTCGGCTTCGCTGAACTTGAAACGTGTTTTCTACCACGTCGACGTCGATCCTTTTCTCCGGCGCGAGAATAACCGGTGCCGTCGATTTCTATGCAAGGTTTCAATGTTTCCGTCCCATCCGTCTCAGAGCCTTAAAAAGTCAACAGTTTCAAAAAGCTGTTAGTTTTTAAGAAGAAAGGAGATTTTCGAAAAAAAGAGAGGTAATATAACGAAGTAAAGATCAAAAATTCAAAACGAAATTTAAGCTTAGGAAGCACAAATAAACTGATGACCAACATCAAAGAAAGAAAATGCTGAACAGGCTGGAATTGAAGAGGATTTCGGCAAACTGGCCGCTTTTTAAACGTGCGTTCCTATTTGTGAAATCAGAACTTCCAACAGTATTGAGGCATTAAAAAACTCCCGGGAAAATCACTTTTTTAATATAAAATTTTAAGAAAACATACCTTTGTCTATATCCTTGGCTACACTACGTGTTCCCACTCCCCGTCCAAGCGATCCTGCATTGTATCCACCCGAAGGACATACTTCGTCGACGACGGTGGTTTTCACCCCATCAAATTTCTTTTCCTTAATCTTTTGCTTCTTGTTGACATCGCTTTCACAGATTTCGCGTCGTTGAAAAACCAGACGGGCTTGAATATTGTCCAATCCCGCTTCACACATGATGAATCCCATCATGTCGTCGACGTCTCGACCATTCTCAAACTGTGAATGAGGTAAGATCCTTGCTTTCCGACGCATTAATTGCCGTCGCAATTGCGATACCTAAAAATACAGTTCGGCATGTAAATATGAAGCTGCCCATTGAGGCAATAAAATCAATGCGCCACCATGAGTTCTACGAACCTGAAGCTGATACAATGGGTCCACTGAGAATGTAAACATTACTTTTGACTTGCTCGGATCAACCGCAGACACGGCAGCTTCTTCAAGCAAAGAACTGTCGTTGGTCAAGCGACGCAATTGAGTATGAATACGGCTTAGTGAGAAAATGGCCAAAGCTTCTTCCTGTAATACAATATTGCCACATTTAAAAACGAAAATGTAACCCCAAATGTTACGCAAGAGAAACTTACTCGAGATTTTGCGATGTTTTCAACCATTAGAGGTTCGAAATACCCTCTTTTGTCCAATGAGCCAACCTTTTGCTTAGTTCGAAACCACGGAAAATTGCTGAATTTGTCACCGGGTAAAGCCGAAGTACTCGGCGCTGCTCCTTGCGAGGATGGAATGGCTTGCAACGTCAGCTTATCCTCTTGTCGTTGGTAAAATTCAAATCGTAGCTTATCCATTGACAGTGCCAAAACAGACACACAAAGCAAATCTTGGAAGTGGTCCAAACCGGCGGTTGTGGTCACGTATTCAACCAGTGAGGTTTGCAATACTGCTATATTGATCTATATTGATGATACATCAAAATATAATATACACATTCTTTTTCTTTTCATATTCTAGGTCGTTTCCGAATTATCACTGAAATTACTTTTGGTATGACCACCAAAGCTTGAAGCTCGCTGCCCCGGGTTTCCTCCATAACAGTGAGCATGCCGCGGCCGTTCCCGCCCATGTCCTTTCGTCGGCTGCGAACGTCACCCCCGCTCAGAACAGCGCTACCAACACCGCCCCCTACCGCTAGTACTGCAGAAACAGTGCTACCTGCGCGCATTTTCAAGTTATGCTTCGATGACCGGTTGATTTTCTTCGCAGCTTGAAAAGCCGCAGACGACTGTGCCTCTGCCCACAAGTTGATTTTCTCTTCTTGCAAGAGAACGTGTCTTTTTTCCACTTCACTACTGCACAGCAACTCCATTAGATCCACGATAACCATCGCATGAGCATTTCGAAGGGTGTCCGTCAATGAGTCCGTAAACCTGATTCAACGTCCATAAATTATATTTCCGCGCATAGTCCGATATTTGCTTACGTGAAGTCTAACAACATTTTCTATTTTATATGTTGAGCATCTGTAAATGCTCCAATAAACGCAGAGTCTCCAATAGAGACAGGTCTCTAATAAACATCTGGCATCAAAGGGGGTTTAAGAGATCTTGCACTTGCAGATGTGAAACCGGAGAGAATAACCGTAAGCAAACTCAAGAAGCTTACCTTTGTAACGACTCGACAGCCAAAGGGGTGAAGTACAAGTCCAACGGCGACTTGACCTTGAAAACCAAAGTTGTTCTGCCAGTCACAGTTTCATCAAAAATAGCATGGGAATCGCTTTCGACGCCAGGACGCCAAGTAGGAGACCAATCGTCGTCATTCGCACCCTCAACATCCGTATGCGCGTCAGAATCCGTATCAGAGTTCTTTGCATCGGTACGTTGTTTTCCATGTGATTTCTTACTCGCCTGGTCCCTCCATGCAAAAAAGTCGCAATCCCACTCAGATCTTCTGTCGAAGTCCCTGAACTGATGCGAGTGCAAATGAGTCGGGGTCACAGATCCAGACGAGACGCTTTCTTCTTTCGTCACCGGTGGGAATGGAAAGGAATTCGATTGGCGAAAATTGTCGCGAGCACTAGGTGCCACAGCGCATGTTGAGATTTTCTTCGCGGTTGGTAACTGCACTATCCTGATCCCCGTGAAGCCCATCGACATTGGTAAAAATTCGGGGAAATATTGCGAACGAGGAGGTAAATGACCTTCTTGCAACGATGAAATCAGAAATACATGATCCGACCCGCCCATTTGCGTTGGAAGACAGCTCTTCCATCTTTTTCCTTTTACCTACGAATAAACGCATACTGGTCATGAAGTCATGCGAAAAACCAAAACGCCCACTTTTGAATGAATACGGGACTTTTATAAACTCACTTGAACCAAATGAGACATGTAGCCAGACATAAGTAGCGGGGATTCGGAAACGTGCTTCTTCACTTGCGCGTGCAAGTCCACCAAATTGACAAAACTTTGATCTGGAAATTCATTATTTCCATAATCATCGTCATAGTTGTAAAGGGTTGAATTGGCAGATAAGAAAGACGTGCTGGAATTTGTTCGAGACGCAGCCAACGAATGAACTGAGAATTTCCCAGTGCCTTGTGCCACTTCCTTCAATAGAAATACGATATACAGTAATTGAAAATAATTCGCGAATGAAAAGATGATTTTCTTTTGAAAAATCAACGACGGTTTTGACTTAGCTGATATAAATGGAAAACATTCTAACAGAAAACGTAAAATAACGAAATTAACTAATTTAGCATCACTGTATGTTCAACTCACCGAAGCGCGATCCGTTCCAAGATACTGCATTCCTGTTTCACGAGGTGACGCTAGGGCTATGTCATCAACTGACAGTGCTTTGCCAGAAATCGTGGGCTCTTCATCAGAAAAATATCTGTCCGATGCGCTGCTCACAGGATCTTTGAAACTGCTTTCACTGAAAAATTATTACCGAAAATCGTTAGCAAACACATGGTTTGCTCCTTTGCTCCCATGTGTAAGCAAACACATGGTTTGCTAACTTGTCAATTTGACACAACGGAAATAAACCGGAAATGACTTAGAAATAACAAAGGAATTACTCTAACTTGAATACACGGAAAACGCACGGAATCCAAAAATTACCTAGCGGTTCGGTATTCAACTGGCGTCCCAGAGGAGGAATCTTTGAAAGAACTTCTTCCAGAACCAAACCCTCGTCGAATTTTAGACGCTTGAGATGGCTCTTCTCGCACAGAGAAATAAGAATCGGAACTACCAATAGAGCTTGCGCTAGGTATTTGACCGTAGATTTTCTTTCCGTTCAGGCGAGGATCTTCATCTTCTGCGTCTTTCATTTCTCCTTCCTCGCCGATCGTTTCGGCCTTCACCTTCACTTCGGAACCAGCAGAAACTTGTCGATGGAAACTTTTTGAGCTGGCCGCTGTCTAGAAAAAGGCAAACGGAATGAGTTGCTGTAAAAATGCAGAGTCAAAACTCTGCAATTATAATTGGTTTCACGTAGTTAGAAAAAAATGTTAAACCTGTAGAAAAAAGGAGTTTTTCATCATTTCTTATTTTTTGAGGACTGACGAACAATTAAGACGACTAATTATCCAAGTTCGTACAATATTTTGTAGAAATGAACAATTTTCGTAGTGACGAATAACATTATATCCGTGTCAATTTCGAGTAGAGCAATATAGCAAATTACACACTGAAATTTATTCTTTCTTACTTTCACAGTGCTGTAGATTGGCTGAGTCACTCGACGATTTCTGGTTTGCGTGTCAAGTTTTGCCGATCCGAGAGCTTCCATTGAATGACTCACTCTGCCGTGAGTAACACTGCGCCGAACGTCAGTCGGAGAAAATTTCGCCTGATTAAAACAGGATTCCTCAGCTCCATGAGAACCGGTGACTGATACACCGCTTAATGAATGCCCTAATCCAGCTTCGCAGACGCCAGCGAGTTCTCCATATTGCGAAAACACCGTAGACGTGCTGGACGACGACGAGTGGGGACCGTCAGCGTTCGAATCATCATTGCATTCATGACGACAATCATCCCCAGATGCGACGATACGGCTTGGTTCAAAGACCAATCGCGAGGGATTTAAAAGGCTCTGGCCAAAACCATAAATATTTTCTTCCGGCGACCGAAATACCCTAGAACCAGAATGAACGTTCAGAAAAGATCGTCAAAACAATTTTATTTTCAATAGATGTCAAGAACATATTGGAAATGATCAGAAGTGTCGTATTCGTGGTTCAGATTCAGTTTGAAACGATCACGAAACGGAGAACAATAAAAAAACTACAGTATCAGATAAAATTGGAAAGACCCAAAAAAACATAAGATAAAAGCCACAAACCTGTATTGAGCAACATTGTACCCGTCTTGAAAATCTTGCGCAGATGGCTTGAAAAATGTTTTCCCGTTCAAATTCTTTCCAAAAAATGCGCAACCACCAACACAGCCACATCTACCCAAGCAATCACTTTGTTTGCTAGTCGAGGGTTCGCTATCGTTCACCCATAAAAACCACAGCCTTTTACTTCGGTCATCGTATTTCTTCAAGAAGCTGTGGAAAATAAGGTCATAATAAAACATAATGTCTAGATACCCTTCGCTCAGCAACAAACACGGGATAATGTATTGAAGTAGAAAATAATCACAAGCAGGACGTGCGTATGATTGACATCAGGGGTTTTGAGAACTTCAACTGTCAAACATTTTCCAAAGACGTTGAATGGGAAGTTAATCCCTATTAAAGTCATTTTGTTCATGGCATTAGATTATCCGGTGACCGGCATGGTTTCCTACCAGCTTCATTTTCCATACAGAGATTAAGCTGGTGGACCATTCAACAACGAAGGAGATTTGGTCACAGGCCTTAACAATGTGCGCCAGGCGCCATGGCTTGTGACTCCTTCTACAGGGCAGGTTAGCAGGTACTGTAGTAAAAAGGTGAGCTGATAGGAACCCATTTCTAGGGCCGATTATGCGACATTTGAGCAGCACACTGTCCCCACCCTTCATTTATGGTAGAACCAAGGATCCATCAATAAGTCCCAAAAGACCACTAGTGAATAACTCCGCGATCTTGCTCAAAAAGATCCCCACAGAAAAGTCATGTCAACAGAAATGTCAACAGAAAAGTCAAGTCAACAGGGGTCTCAAAAATAGGTCTTGCTCAGGTTTAAAAAATTAGTATGACCACTTGGGCAACCGAATTTTATCCCAAACCCAGAGCGTAGACTCGAACAAACTGAATAAATACAGTAAAAAAATTCCGTGAAGCACACAGGCTTAGTCACTCTGATACGTGAAATGTGAATAAAAACCAGGTTACCGGTACTTGAAAATGGAAGATTTTAATTTCCCTCACCCTACTACATAATTATAAGGCTTTTATGTATACAATACGACGATTAAAACAAAAATATGTCATCAGGCTGGAACAATCCGAATTTACCATCACAATCCAAGATTTAAATTGAGTTATAACTGAATGACTTACTTACCCTCTTCTGCATGCACATAATATACGTCAAAATGTTTCGGAGGCGCTCAAAATGTGGGCATTGTCAAAGGAAATCTGAGATACGTGAACGAAAACTAAAAATGAAACATTTTCATTTCCCTCACCCTTGCTGTAACGCTCTCAAGTCCTTTCCTGAAAAGGAGGAAGTGTGCGGGCTTAGAGCCGCATCCAACTGGAGTGGTCCGAACACCAACGATCCGACCTCAAGCCAGACAGCAGAACTGTCAGCGTGAGATTCAGCTCCGGGATTTGTCCCTTGTTCACAGGTCATTCTTTCGATTCTGGCAGCTTTTTTTCGAGTCAACGGGGCCATGTACTGATGAATCGCAATGTTTTCAACGAGTAAACTCAACCCGGATCTGACAGTTTCTCCGTGGGCGTTACAGGTAGCCATGCGAACAGGATAAACCTGAAATACATTTATATTACTATAATAAGTACTGTATTTTCATGCAGGCGTGTAAAAAAATTATATAAGTATTTAAGAAAAAATTATTATTACAGTATTATTATTAGGAACTTGTCAAGGAAAGTGTTTATTGATCAACTCAGATTTGAACGCATAGAAAATGACTAAAACTGCAACTAATGCAAATTTAATAAATTTTCGGTACAGCGCAATAAATCAAGGCCGCAGACACAGTTAATCACATCCGATACAGAAAAAGCATTTTGTGAAGTTCTGGAAAACCTGAACACATCTTGTAGAATGGGACTTTTGTTATTGGTTCACCAAAACGAGCAGCAAAATTTAAGCCTGGAAATTAAAATACATACCTCTAGCTGTAAAGCTGTTGCTTCCTCGACGAAAACCAAGTCAATGGAGTCGAATATCACGCGCACCATGCAATACTTTATATCCTCTGACGTAGGACATAATGAGATCACTGTTTTCTCAAGACAATGTGCTTCAATCGCCGAGGTTCCGTCCGGGCTAGGGTCTCCTGGTGTAGAGCAAATCATACGATCTGGACAGTCGTCTCTCAGGACTCCATGCAGACAATAAACTGGCCTAGGCGGCTGTTTCAAACCATTTCCAGCATCCAGTATCAACAGAGCGAACGTATTCAGTGAGGTTACAATCTGGTACACCTGATACAGTATAAAATATACGAAATATTTTGAGCATTTCCGAAATAAAAAATTTTAAAAATTTTGGTACTCACCTGAGGCAACGTCAAACGACACATTAGATGTCCAAATTGCACCTCCGTCAACCACGCATACTCAATTGTTTCATCGCCAAGCTTTCGGTCTTCGTCAGAGAACATAGCGTGCCCTCGAAACTAGAACAGAAGATAACACTTCGAATGCAAAACGAAAGTAATTTTTCATAAAGTTGCTCACGCCCGTTTTGAGAAGATATCACGCTTAAATTACGGTTTTTCGAAGTTCATGAACTCACGACGTACATCCAAATATAAGTTTCCGATTTTCAACCACTGTATCATAAAGAATGAAAAAAGAAATTATTACAAACCTGGAAGGAAGTCAGAAGTGCATTGCCACTTGAGAGATGCTCATGACTGGACGTCCGTTGGTTACTGTCCCAAACTTTCAAGGAAATCGGCGAGCAATTGACTTGTAACTTGGTTTCATGGAAGCTCTTGTGAACTTCCACCACCAGCTGTTCCATGCTCAAAACCGGACAAAAAGTTGAGTCGTCACTCGGACAGGAGTGCTGAAATATGATGAGGATTAAAAATGCATTAAAAGTCACAACAAATTGATACCAGTTTAAATCCATTACAAAATTCAAATGGCTGCTGTTATGCTCTTCATAATAAATCCATAATAATATCCTCTCGATAATAATATTAAAAGTATCTCCTCCGAAAAAATTTTAAACCCAGCAAAAATTCGTACGAATCCTTTAATTTTTCGAACGATTAATCTTTTGAAAAATTTCTGCGATAAATATTTCTTGCGTGTACGAAGGGAACACACCGACATTAGCGTCCCTTGTATGTCGTGCATAATGAAGCTGACTGTGACTTTCAGCGGTCGATAATGTCGGGGATCAAAATCACTCGACAAGTCAGCGGAATTGCCGCTGCTACTGTCCGCAGGTTTCGCGTCGGTTCGCTTTCTCGACTCGGCGGAAAAATGGCCCAATCGCTTTCTAAATAGATTTGGAGAATCTTCAGGCGTCGGAGGTTCGTCTCCATGACTCAAAAATTCCTCCCATCCAGTTTCCATGTCATGGAACGTTTGATATTCCCCAAGAAAATCGTCCTTAACAGAAAATAATGCTTTTCATTCAACAAACGACACAATGAACAAAATCAAGAAAAATCACCTTAAAAAACCACAGTAACCGGAAAACCGTTCCGTACAAGTAGAAAGTAGTCGCACCGAATTCCAATAAGACATGAATTCTGTCCGGCGGAAGCATCTCGGGTCGAAATGATTTCGAAGCCTCGGTGTCCTTACTGTCAAATTCCCATAAAATACGTTTCGTTGAAGGGGCCCGAATCGGTAAAAGAATTTCTTCCTCTTGCTCTGGCGTTGTCTGCGCTTTCTTTCCGCTCTGATTCCTTTTCTTCCGCAAATTCAATCCTTCAAAATGTCAATTTGGAATCAATTTTTCATCAAATCGAATTTAATTTTGACGAACCTGGCGAAGCTCGGGATCCCAAGCCCCAGTGATAATTTTCAACGGAACGCAAACTCTCAATAGGCGGCATCGGGTGGTACACAAACTCAATCTTGCAACCAGCCATGGGCACCCACACACAATCAATCCAACCATCTCTGAAAAATAAAATTTCAAAGCATGAAAATTAACGCCAATGCTATATTCAATAGCACTCACTCGACAGTGCAAACATTCCTCCAACGATGTCTTTCGTCTTCAGGAACCACTGCCGTGCGACCGTCACGTCGCAAGATTTTCGCGTCCTTCTGAAGCGCCTGTAAAAATTTTCACTTTGAATAAAAGCACGGTCAACCAAAAATTTGAACTGCTCACCATCAATACGGCATGACTTGTATACGCCGGAGGAACACGCATCCCCAAGATGAGCACCTCGCCATGAATTGAAACATTCACTGGGACAGTTTCCGGCAAGTAGTCCGAAAATGGTAATACAATCGAAACATCCAAAACATCCCCGCACACGCAAAGCTCATCTGGGAAGTAAATTGAATGACGAATGCGTTCTTGCTATACACTACATTGCATATTTGGGAATGGTTGCACATAACCTCGAATTGCATTGAGAAACTTGGTGGCAAAAATTTGAAAAGTTCTGCAGTCAACCCTCAATTTAGTATCATCATAAATAAAATCCACAACTTTTGTCCGAACGAGCACAGTAAGCGCAGGAATGTCACAATTTCAATTTTTTTAAACTTACTTAAATCATATAAAATTTACTGACTCCAAGATTCCAATATAAGTACTAATACTGTATTCCAATTTGTATGTGTGGACCTGAAGTTCCCAATAAAAATAGTCTCTTAGAATCTTTGAGCAGAGCACAAAATTACTCCAGTAATTGGTCATTTTTCCAATTTTTGTGGAAATAAACATAGGCAGGGGGCACTATATTGAGGGTTGACTGTATTATATCATGCATCCATGCGCAGTGAGTTGAATGCATCCAACAGCAAGCTTAAACATTAAATACAGTATTAAGCATTAAAATATTAAACTTTAAAAATTGAAAATATTAAGCATTGATTCAACATTAAAATATTAAGCATTGATTCAACATTAAATATTAAGCATTAAGATATTGGAGGAATTAAACATTAAAATGTTTACGTGAATGCTGACCAATGAATGCACGAGCAATCCTGATCATCTTGCACAACGAAAAAAATAAAAGAGGTACAACTCACCATTCTCGCCTTGTTTTGACGTACAATCAAGCCAATTATACTGATTCACCGGAAGCACAACTTCGAACTGTTTCAATCCAATTGACACCGTCCAAGTGTAAGGTATAAAACTAAGAATATCCGGTCGGCTTTTGGAAGACCAGTCGTCGATCATCTCTGAAAACATATCTTCATTATCCGGAGATGACCACTTCCAGACAAAAGCTTGATACCAACCTTGAATGAAGGTTTTATGAACATAAGTAAAATGAGCCGTTCCTTTGCAAACAGTAACATCTAAAGTGCAATCCTGATGATCGTTCCACTCCAAGGGATGGTGAATTTTGACAGTGTACTCTAATGTCTCACAGTTCAGGAGAGATCGATACTGCAATAATAATAAAAAACACCACACGTATCAACGAAAAATTTCGAGAATTTTTCATCGTTGCATTATTTTACTTAGGTACCTCAGCAAAATTTGTCAAGGCAGCTTTCAATATTTCACGAACCACCAAGGAATAAAATATTGTAAAAAGTCAACTAACCGCGAGGCCGGTGGTGGTTTCCAATATCAAAAACTGTCCATTGATGACAGTTGTATATCCCGTACAATCAACCAACAAGGGTATCGTAATATCCAGGTATGACCCAGGATACACGCGCATGTGGACTGCCTGGGTTTCACTTTGTTTTGAAAAAAGAATATCAATAGACGACTGTTCCAGCAGGGAGATCTTCAAGTCAAATGTATGCGGCTGTCGTTTCATGCTTCCAGGTAGCGTCACACTAGTCGCGGCAGCCTCAGAATCAGTGTCTCGACTGTTGGATTTTTGAGGAGGTCTCTTGAAATGCGCGCTGTAGTTATAACCTTCTTTCGTCGGCTGCATTTGCTCGTAATCCCACGGGAAGAAAAATTTCATCCACAAGTCCCGCTGTCTTTCAGCCCACGTTCCATAACTAATATCCGTGTTTTTTCCACACTACAATATGGTCAAATGTCGGAAACAGTGGCATTTTGAATATTCATTCAAGCATCATTACCTTCAGATCAAGTCCCCAGACAGGAGGCGAAGAGGAATCGGAATTCAATGGGATCTCTTCGTGACTTGCGATAGAATCGTTCCGAGAGCTCATCGAAAAATCTAAAAAAGGAAATTGCGCAGGTAAATTTGACTTTCAAAACTTCCAAAAAATACGTGATTGATTCAAGCAACAACAAAAAATGAGCGCTTACTGGGCTCATCCTGATAATAATAGGCTTCCACTGAATTAGACGAAAAAATTAGAAATCCTTCTCCCATGTAACGCGGCGGCTCGTCGATTTCTCCGACATACTTCGGACTGGGAGAGAACATCATCTGAAAAATATGGGCCCGTTTAATTTGTCTATATTCGCCTAAGAATGTGTGGATGAAGCGAACAAAAATTTATCATAAATATACTTTGATCAATTTTCAGAATTTCAACTGAAACAAATTTATAAGCTCAAAGGCATAATTAAATTTCAAAATTTCCGAAGTTTTCTGTTAATGATTTCGCACAAAATATGAAGAACATACCTTAAAAGTTTCAATGTTCGCTTTGACTGAGTGCATATAGAGATCATACGGAGATTGAGCAGGTCGGCTGGTGTAGACACATTTTGCTTCGTCAACACAGAAAGACAGAGCAGTCGGTAGCAAGTGATTTCCGAACACAAATCGACTCTAAAATATACAAGACAATGTCAGAGAAGAAAGATCATAATCCAGAAAGATTGATATACCGAATGCAAGTCAATTTTAACCACAGGAAAAAAATCTCTCCATCTTGTCCACGAAAACGCTGAAAGTTCATGACTCGTTGAATCTTGAACATTGTCCGATTCACGATCGGACTGAGGTGTATCCATTTTGTCTCGCAACAGACTTTGATTCCGTCGCTCCCATATCGTAAGTCGTCTCCAAAGGGATTTCCACATGCCAATTTTTGGCGACGGGATGAGCATCGGCTCAAGTCCGAACAGTGACTCGAGGCGACCGTACAATACGGAGCGATTGTAGATGTGCAGCTCCAAGCCGTTTATCTCAATGAATAGTCGACAATCCTCACGGGACATATCTAAAAAAAATTTGGAAAGAACTCGATAGCTACGCATCGGTATAAATGAACAATAGCAAACAATTTTCGATATAAAAAAAAAGACATGCGAGTCTAATATTGCGCCGTAACACGGTCGCTTGGAATCAAATCGAGATATTCATCAAAATAGATGAAAGAATCGTCAGCACGTACCTTCATTAATGGCTTTCGGCTTATACGGTTTCCACCATCGAAATTTGAAACCGCCATCTTGGACTCGAACGGTGAAATCAGGCGTTATATAGACCACGTTTCGAAAGATCAGTTTTCCGGACAAGATCGACAAAGATATCGAACCTAAACCACATGAAATGTCTTCTTTAGAAAACACGAAGTTTCTCCAACAATGCAATATACCGGCAACACACCTATTACTAATTCGGCCCCTGAGCCAAAAAACCGCTTCAGACCGTAAGTGAGAATAGATCCAATAACACGGGAGTTATAAAATGCGATGTACGTGCACCAAAATATGGCAAGGAGTATTGCCACCAGCAACAGGGGAAACTGGCTGTTCGTAGTGAGATCCTTCAGTGTATCCCTGAAAAAAAAAAACATTATTACATCACTGAACACACAACACGAGACCTTGACAAGAAGCAGTTCAGTAAAACGGAGCAAAACGAATACATTTTAATAAAACTCCTCGGTAAAATGTAATTGACCAATGCCCCTTGTGAAGCATTGCATTCTACATTCTTTACAATGAAATCGGACTGGAGACCGTCATCACGATCAAAAAATCACGATTCCTCACCCCGTCATGTTCCACGAGGCGGTTCCACTTGAATCCATGGTCATGGTCTCCTCGATACAACAAACTAATCTCGAATACTACAATTTTAATTTAAACTTCGTTCCCATCCACGAGAAGGAAACCATCTTCAGACAATGTCCTACACAAAATTACATCGCAGAAGTATCACGGAATCTGCAACAAGAAATGTAGTTACGGTTCACACAAGCCCCAACAAAAATAAACGCAACAAGCCAAAACGACTAACACCACACGTCTCAAGTGTATTCTTGGCAACGCAGGGATCGTAAAGATCAAAATATAAATTGCACGAATCGACACTTCAACACCACACATTGACCAGCCGCACGCGCGTCTTCCTTTTGCAAACAGAGATTGATTCAATACCCGTTTGAAGTTTCTTCAGTGCTTTTCCAAAGCTTTAGCCAAAAGATCATTCATGTGTACCAACGCATTCCTCGGATCCTCAACAAGCCCAGCCGCAACCATGGAATTTGAGAATAATTGCCTCACAACCAGTTCGGCCAATTCCGGGTCACTCGTGCGCAGTTTGTTCAACTTGACAATGATGGAGTGTCGCGGATTGAGTTCAAATCTCGGCTGCAACAAGCGATATCGATCTTCTTCAGGAACCTGTGAGAACTGCGTTCTAACGAAGTGGCGCGCTGAGGCCATTTCCTCCACAGTAAGAACACAGGGGTGAGCATCAAGAAATGCCGTCATTTGCACTGTATGCGCTTTGCCAGATAAAATCTTCTTTGTCCACGCAACAAGTTCATCCGCGTCACTTTTCGATAATCCACTCGAATCCGCATCGTAATCCACGGTTTTCTTCTCTTGTCGCATTTGCTTTTCCACCGATGTCAAGTATTTTTTATCGAATTCTCTCAGCTGAACAAGCACCAACTCATCGTATGGTTCGTAGCAGAACAAAACTTCGACATCGCGATCTTTCAGAGCTTCGTAGTACGGCGATGATTCAGCAAGTTGGCGACTTGGGGCGGCCAAATAATATATATCCCGCTGTCCAGGCTTCATACGACTACAATATTCGGCCAAGGTAACCTTTTCTCCTTGGGGTAGTTGAGAAGATTCGTAGTGCAACAAGCGTGATAATTCTTCCTTCTCCATCTGATCTTGACTCGTCAAAATGCCCTCCTTGAAAAAGACGCCGTAATTTCGCAGGAATTCTTCGTAGCTTTCCTTTTCCTTTCTCGCGCGATCCTGTAGAAATCTTATAACTCGGTTACTGAGAACCGTCCGAATTTTCGAAATTTGAGCGCTGTCTTGTAGAAGTTCCCTGCTCAAATTCAACGGAATATCTTCTGAATCGACAACTCCTTTCACGAAACGGAGCCACTTGGGCAACAAGGATTCTGCTCTGTGTTTGATCAGAACTTTCCGACAGTACAATGCCACTCCTATGTCAGCATCACGACTAAGTTCAAACAAACCCGGCTTCCCTTCAGGGAAGTACAAAATGCACCGAACGTTGATCGGGGCATCAGCTCGGTAGTGCAGAGTAAATCGCGGACGATCGTAAGAATACCCAACAAAGCGATAGAATTCCTCGTGCATTTCAGGAGTGACTTCTTTTGGGTCCATGAGCCACAGAGGCTGGATGGTATTCACACGCTTACCTGACAAAAATATTGGGCTTCCGACGAAATTGCTGTACTTCTTCAATATTCCTTTCACCCGGTCTTCGTCGCAAAATTCCATGCAATCCGGTTTTAGATGTAGAACAACTTTTGTTCCAGAATGAACGTGCTCTCCTTCTTGTATTGAATAAGATCCGGCACCATCTGAGGTCCAAATGTATCCTTTCGAGTCGGGTTTTACAGAACGAGTGTACACGGTCACCTTATCAGCCACCATGAAAGCCGAGTAGAAGCCAACCCCGAATTGTCCAATAATGCCAGATGGATCTCCTTTTGAATTTTTTAGCTCCGCGAGGAAAGCTTTCGAGCCGGAGTGTGCTATGACACCGAGGTTGGCGACAAGTTCTTCGCGTGTCATGCCTATCCCAGTATCTTGAAACGTGAGCGTCTTTGCATCTTTGTTGACAGCAAGATGAATCTCAAGCGGACGATCGACGTCCGTGAACGCCGATGCTTCTGTAGTAGACAGATATCTAAATTTCTCGATGGCATCATTGGCGTTTGAAACCAATTCTCGGATGAAGACCTCTTTCTCAGAGTAGAGCGACTTGGCGACAATATCTAGAAGCATTTTCGTCTCCGCCTAACGAAAAAGACAATAAAAATGGAAGATGAGATTTTTAGGTTTTTATTATTTTATCAAATAAGTCTATGAAGATTACTTCGCTCTACATAATCTAACTCTGGGGCATGAACAAAACTTTAAAAAATTACTCCTTTAATGTTAAAACAATCAACACATTTAACCAATTAGGTTGCCTAAATTAGCGAAGTCGTTCATTACCTTACATCAAATACCAAACGGATTACCCTTTCTCAGAAGTTTTCGGAATCACATGGAAATAATTCTAGTCAGATTAAGCATGTGTGCACTCCTTTTCAGAAACTTGTTTGATTCATAAAAAAAAAGCATAATCCAATCCTGTTTGACAAAAGAAACGAATAAATTTGGGGACTAGTTTTCTGCTCCTGGAGAATGTCCCGTAGGAAAGTGAACATGGAATAAATGTCACTACAAAAATCTTGGGTTTCTGGAAACGCAGAAAAACTATTCAAGGATTCATACCTCACACAGTATCTCACACGTTTTACACTTTGATAGAAGGTTTTAGGGTGTTGATTATCACCAGTGATTTTCACACAAATAAGTTATGAAACTAATTTCTTGTCACAACAAATTTTCAGGTTAAAAACTTGTTTCCAGTCCTGGAAGAAATCCTATAGGCGGGTATATGTTGAAAAACTTGTTAAAACAAACTTTGCAATTCCAGTACTGTAAAACAAACTTTTTCACCGAACGCAGGATTTGCCTGGTAAAATTCCAATGATCATACAGTATAAGGTGATCACAGTCCCAAATTTCCCTATTCAAATGTTACTGCGACTAGTTTTTGAGCTTTAATGGAAGAAACACGAAAAAATTTGCTTCCCAGTGGAAATTGTTATCTTCGAAATATGAATTTCTGTCATAACATGCTTCACATTCATGATTGTCAACTGCATGTACACAGACAAAATTTTGAAATTCCTCTACCTGAATTTAGGCTTAGTAATTTCTTCTTAATAATTTATTTGCCAATACATATATGAAAAGATGTATTGTATTCATGAATATGAGCACAAAAATACAGCAAACATTTGACTGACTTGGATCATTCATGACAACTTTTTTGCAGTTTATTTAATTAAATTTGATTTCCCCTTTGTTTTTACAGCCCACGGGTTAGTTATAAAAAAGGCAAAAGAGATAATGCGATAATGCCCAAAATTCACTTTTGATAAGAAGCTCAACATTTTGCTAGGTTTGCATATGCAAAAAAGTCAACAAAGAAATTGATTCAAAATATCACTGAGTTTATCAAACAATGGTATCATAAATTATCTTAAAAAGACAGAAAATCAAGATACTGCATATGTATGCAGGTCCAACTTGAACATTTTTTCCATTGATTTATTTTGAAAATCTTGCTATAACAAATTATTCAGTACTGTACAAGTGTATAACAAATGTTTCATCAAGTCCCTGCAAGTTTGTTACAATGGAATTCTATTGCAAAAATGCTGTGGCTGGGACAGCAGCTATCGATAGAGAAAGCTGAGAAGCCAAGGGCAGTTTTCCTTCATTCTGAATTCTTAAAATAAGGAAGCATAATTGTAATCTTTTTTCATTTCTTTCTCTAGTTCCTCATGTTACCCATAAGTTAGTATTTAAGTTTTATCATAATTCCAGGTTGTACCCCATTATCCTCAACTATTAATGGAATGCAGTGTACAGTATTCCCACAAAGCGATACAAATTTTGAAAACTGGCTGGTATGTTATAAAGGTAGACACTGCAACAGTCTAGTCTACAACAAATGTTTTCTGGTCTCTTGAAATATGTTGCATAGAGAGTATACCGGTAATCGCCTGATATGAAAACGTGATGTTGCAGCAAGATTTATCATAAAGCGCTCATATTTGAATACAGTACTGTATATCAAAAGCTGGATTCAAAATATGGAAATTACGCGAAATATGCATTCGGATTAAGTAATGCCCGTAACTGAATCATCACCTGGAATTCGTGGGAATCTTCCGGTCCAGATGGAGTTTCTTTATCGTCGATTATGCAGTGATATTCGGCAGAGGTTTCACTCGCAGATTCCGGCTCAGCTGCGGTGGTTGTGGAGTAGGGTCGGATGCATGCTCTCATTGGGTTCCATTCGTATCCCACTGACTTTGTGCGCGAGCACAACGTACACAAGACTGCGCTTTTCGCCTCGAGTATTTTTATAGAATTACATGTTGTTTTCTCTCTCCGCTGAAAACATCTGCTTGACCTTTTTAAGAATGGTAAAGTACGGATGCTAGCACTGTACGACCGACCAACGCGACACAACGAGTTCATCACGTCAAAACTAACGCAAGATCTCAAAGGTAAAACGATCAAATACCTGTGGAAATATTGGAAAATGAATGACTTTCTCCAGTAATTTTTCGCATAATTGATCCATCAAGAAACATGTTTTAAAACGAACTTTCGTTTTATTCCACCAGTTTACAGCGACAACGCGGACGCTTGGCAGGTGGGCGGACGGTGAACAAAAGCAAATCTGCCAAAAATCGACGCATATAAAAATGTTTTAATCAACAGAAGAAGAAAACAAAATCCTCGACAGCACACATAATTAAGCAATCCAAGTAACGAAGATAAAACTTTCTCGATCAAGCGGATATCGGAAATACATTCAAGCGGGATTCGACCACTATGACTAGCCTGAAATTCCACATCAGTGGAATCCTATACATCGTCAAAACGAGATGCTTCAAGGCCGAACACGGAACAACTACTTCGTGAAGCGGAAAAAGAAATTCCAGAGGCCGATAACAGGCTCACCGGAAAAAAAAAGATCGGCATCCAATCCTCGCCCTTCTTCTCGCCTCACATAAAACCGCGGATTAGTTACTGGACAGTCACTCCAACATCACAGCAGCGGTGCTAGTCAGAATATCCCATTCAAACGCTTTCTGGTTCTTCGACAGACAGACCAAAAAGTAACGGAAACGCAGTCACTCATTCGGCAAACGACGCTCATACAAATGCAACATGATATACAGATAAATTCTGCGGTTGAAGGACTGAAATCCACAAAACCGGAAGGATATAACCGCAATTACGCGAAAAACTTACATTCATAAGAAATAAAAAATTTAATTCTTATCCGATCGACTTGACTGCAGTCTCAGAGTGGAAAAGACTTGGCACATAAGAAACGATGGGATTTTTCACCGAAGAAATCATTGAGTAGGTCAAGAAAAATCTCAGGTGATTAAAGCAGCTTTTGTGTTTCTCAAAACTGTAAGCAAAAGCCTGCCTTGCGGAATTTCGAAACATACTCGGTACTGTACCCCTGAAATGTATTCAACTACATCCGCAGATTTTGAAGGTTCACACTTCGTCAACTGAACATAACCAAGACCAGGCCGAAAAGGGCGAAAGAATTTAAAATAAAAAGAAAGCCATTATTGAATTGAACGACACGTTCGTGTATACGGCTAGCTTCAAAATAATTACGCCAGAAGAGAAACTGTTGTAAACTAATACAGAACACCTAAGTATTTGGCGAACTTGGCTTTCGACTGGAATGAAATACCCTCCCTCCACATTATCCAACGGGTTTCCTTTTTTACCTTCATTCTCAAAGATGTCCCTAGAAGCACGACAAAAAATTGACAGAAGTTACATCTTCCACCAAATTCCTGGACCAAATTAACCGCAGACATTCTCATTCGTCGAGGAACTTGAAGTCTACATCAAGCCAACCGGTCAGGAAAAACGATAAATCAACGAGAAGTTTTACATAAATACGTCGTTCACTCATCAAAAATAAATCCCCTCAAATAAGCATTATATGCGATTCCGAAAGCGCACCAGCTTGACCTCGATTCAAAATTACACACTGCAGACCTTACACAGCAGTGTGAAAAGCGAAGTGTCCATCGCGAACTCAGAATCCCTGCAAGTTCGAAATGAATAGCTTTCGCTTTCCTCAGCATGTTTTCAGCCACCAAGATTACAAACCCCCAACAAACTTTATTCTTCGATTGGGTTCAGCAAGATGCACTCCAAACTAGCGACATTCCCACACCTTCACACTCTGGTCAACGCTTCCGGTGATGACAATCGGCATACTTCTATGCATATCTAGAAATGAACAAGATACAAGTTCATGAATTCCGCATTAAAATTAAGTCGTTCATCTCAAGACCTGATCCGGACCAACGAAAAGTCTATAATCAGAAAAGACGGTAAAACAAGCGATGTGATTTAGACGTAATGGTCAATTTTTCTCAAACTTCCAAGACCATCACGTGAGTGAAGTAATTTAAAGCTAATCGGAATGACTAATCCACTTCTGATTAGATTGTATATAATCCATACATTTTAATGATTCACGAAGCATTGATTTGATCTCAACCTCGATAATTTCTACAATGCCAGTAATTTAAAGCTAAAATGAGCGAAATGCGGGTCTCCTCCGAGAGAAAGTGTCTTCCCAAAGCGTCTGATGACCACAGTACCAATGCAAAAATAAACCCTTGGAGGCATCGTTTGAACTAGGACGACCTACCGCATGACAGCAGAAAAACGCATCATTCACGAAACGTACCTAAGGTAGTGCAGAAGTGGGCATGTGCCACGTGAACTTTGGTGCAGCGCTTGTGGGCCAAATGCCAAACGCGAACTGTTTTGTCGTCGGAAGCAGTAAGTAGATATTTCCCACCGGGATGGAAAACTATCCCACGAACCCAATTGTCATGTCCCAACAGACTGAACAGTGATAGACCGACTGTGATATCCCAAACCTGGACCAGAAAATAAAGATTAATCTCAATCCCATCTTTAATGATCATTACTACGCTGAGGGATATCCGAGAATGTCAGGATATTTTCAAAATAATTAGAAACCGACGAATTCTTTCTACGCACACCACACACAAAATCTCCTCGAAAATTCTGACGGAAACTTACAACTTAGAGAATAGCGAAGTGAGAAAAAACTGCACAAACCTTGATGCATTTATCACGACCTCCGGATACCAGAAACGGCCCTGAATGCGATCGACCTCGAACGTAACTGTATGAGGATATTTGGGAATTCCCGGTTTTTGCGTCGCCGGAATTCTCTTCCTGGCTGCCACCTTCGCATATTGCTTGATACGATATTTCAGGAGCCCAAGCGATGCACTCCACAACATGGTCGTGTTCCCGAAGCTCAACTTTGCACTCTCGGGTGGCCGTCACCCACACGCGTACACTATGATCGCACGAGCACGACGCCAACAACGATCCATCACTATTAACACGGACCATTCGCACCCAATCGCGATGTCCAGTGAAAGTTTTAACACAGTATCTACCAGGAAAAATACAATTAAGCACAGCTGTTTCATCAGTGCAAAGGCCGTCAAACTTACCCAGTGGAAACCTCCCACATCTTGATAGTTTTGTCCCGGGAGCCAGTAACAATGTAATCTCCGTTTGGAAGAAATGCAACCGACGATACGTTATGGTCATGGCCGTGCAGAGTTTTTATGCAGTTGTAACTAGCGAAATCCCATATTCTAACTGTCATGTCTGCACTGCAAGAAACTGGAGGGGAAAAAATGAGATCTTCCATCTAGAAGAATGTTCGTCTCGATTGAAACTTACCCAGTGTTTTGCCGGAGTTGTCCAGCGCAATGTCTTGCACGCTGTCTGTATGCCCTCGCAAAGTCTGTTCAAAATCGCCTGTTTCGAAGTCCCAAATTTTAATGGTGCAATCCTCACTGGCAGATACGAGCAACGTGTAAACAGGGTGAAATATCACTCTTGTAATAGGGTTTCGATGGCCCGTTAACATGAACTTTTCTGGCGATCTAGGCAGCCACTCTTGCGGAGAACGCTTGTCCCTCGTTGGCGCCCCAGCCACGTATTCCTTTTCATAATCAGCCAGTTTTGCTTCGAGGTCCATCACCTTTTAGAAAAGTAACTTCCTTTTTAGATTTGAAGGATCAACTTAAAAAGAAGTAGAGATCACCTTTTTCTGAAGTCGAACTACGGATACCCATTTCTTTTCCAAAAGTCCCGCTGAGCGCCTCTCGGGATCTGCATCGAGTTCCACATTTGCTTCTTGGCGAAAAGCATCCGAAGATGATCGGAACCCAGAAGATGACAGATATTCTAGAATAGCTTGGTGCCTAAAATAATAAAAGATCAGCAATCCTGAAGATTTTTATCTTGCCTCAGTATACTTACAGTTCCTCACGTTGTTTCTGCGGGAGGACCATCCTGGCCAACTCTAGATGATAAAATTTCACGTTTTCTTTGACTATGCCTGCGACACGGGAGAAATACAAATTACAGAATTGAGATATAAAACAAATTACAACACAAAGCGTATACTTCAAGACATGCTCAAGCGTATCATGGCTCATGGAATACACTCAAAAATGAGCCGTTCTACGCGCGATTTTCTTCACCACCACATCGCTTCGACTTAAATTGTACGTCACACTGGTGTATCGCTAACTCAGCGCAATCAATGGAAGCATGGCTCTGCAGCAAGCATCATACTGACTCTGAGAAATGCGAAAACAGAAGATTATCCTCCCGTTTCCGCGGAGAATATCAATGACTGATCCGCAAGCACTCGCCCAACTACACAGAGTTCTCGAAGGGAAGCTTCGAATTGTTCCCGATCAATTTTTCGACTCCATCCAGTACAGTACTGTAGTCGGATTTCCGGGTGGGCGGGATATCAAGCGCCATCGTGATGTGGGAGAGCACATTGTGAATTCTGACTACGGTAGTTCACTCATGTACCAGAACACCATGCATGAATACATGCATAAAATGTACTTCAGAATGTAATACAGCTTCCGGCATTTAAACCAGGCGACTAGAAACCATTTTAAAGAAAAGCAGTGGGGTCTTGAACAATTACCTTGTTTTTTTAGTGGATTGTTATCCTGTATGTACTGTATATATAGGCATTTGTCGCATATAGGACTAATTTTCGATATGCACTTCCATTCCTGTACAGTATTCAGCGGAATGGGCCAGGGAAATCAATTCTGACATATTTTACAATGGTGAGAAGGGAAGATTGTCGAGATTTGATCGAATTGATTGACGGGTTCATAATTTGAAAAATTGTGCATCAGTGCAACTCAAAAACAATCATCTGGACCATCAGTTTTCAGCCACATTTGTCCCTTCAATGACCTCATCAGTTCATTAGCTACCCTCCTGCAAGTCATCCTTCCGTACTGTATGATATAATCAGCAGGAAACTGACAATGATAAGAAACATTGAAGTTATTCTTTAATTTCCATTGCCCATTATAAAGAAAGTTTGAATCAAGCCCAGCCTTGCCTATATCTTAGAGGTGAAATCAACATAGATGACATGATTCTTGTAGTACTGCATAACAGTATACCCTGTACATTGATATTAATCCACAATGGACCACTAAGAAATGTGGCACTGAGTGCTCCCTTATTTGCGTGAGTGGACTTTGAAGGTTTTTTTTGTGGTAGATGGCTTGGGAGTTAATCATATCATCCTGGTGGTGACTGAACTTTGTTTCTTTTTGTCTTTGATGGAAGGAACTTTGAAAACATTGTTTAATTAAAAAATTACTGGTTTATGGAATTCTGGAATTTTTAATTCATAAATAAAATTGAATTAATCATGAATGTCTGATAATTTGTGAATCATATTCAACTTAAGATTTGCCCACCTGCAATCATGTTTCCTTTAAGACCCATATCTACTACATGTGAAATTCAATGGGTCAATCCTCCTCAAGTCAATATTTGTTCAAGTCCCTGTCTGAATTCCCTTAGAATCAATGCATTAAAAAGCCTCCCTAACTCAGAAGTCTCTTTCTCAGAAACCTTTGTAAGTTGAATTTTCTGATGCCTTCTAGTTATTCTTTCCTTGAAATGTACAAGAGAAAAATCATTAAAACAAATAATTTGATGCACTTTGAAATGAAGTGAAAGACTAATATAGCAAATGAACCCCTGCCTCCAAGTTCTGCAAGACATGAACTCATTAAGGAGCAAGTTTAGTCCCAGAATATCCTCAATTTGATTTCCCAATCTTTTTCCCTTTGCCTCACAACAGAAGTGTTCATTTCCTTAACTGGAAACCTCCCCAAGTAAAATTTTTGTCCTAGCTGCTGGTCCCTAGAAATGCAACTTACATCAGCAGTTGAACTTTTAGTAGCAAGATTTGGTTCCCATATATAACGGTCTCAACACAAGAAGGCATCATTACAAATGTAATTGTTGAAGAGCAGCAAGCATAAGCAGTTTTACTTGAACAAAGAGAACTACAGTACAGTACAAAACAATAGATCATTGCTCTCCAATCTGTGGTCTGCAGACTGGCGCCAGTCTGCAGAAATTTTCTGCCAGTCTGCAGGAAATTTTCTGCAGCATAATAACTTTTATTGAAACTAAAATAGCAATGAAGTCTGTTATCTTGATCTGAAATTTTGGAAAGTTGATACAGTATATGAAGAACAAATGAAAGTTGTCTTTTCTCACAACACTTCAGACAAATTGCCATATGCTGAAATAGTTTATTTAACATTTTTGAAGACATTTCACTATACTGTAGTTGCTTCATAAGTTAATTTTTGAAACAGTGCAGAAAATTTTTAATTACAGAACCTGCCAAGTCTTTCAAGCAACACTTTTTTGAGTCTGCAAAAAATTCATGGAAATTTGCAGTTCCAAGAGTCGGAACACTGCAATAGATTGTCAAAAATAAAACCAATGAAGAAGTATTTGCTCCAAAATGAAAATCACTGTTGAGGGCCAGATACACAACAGAAAGTTTATGGATGATGATTGTTAACAGTCTATTACAGCATTCAAATGTGGGCCCACTACCCAGATAAAAAATGTAGTAGCAAAGGGCAGTCTTCCAAGCAAAACTTGGCTATTCAAACAATACTTATACTGTATTTATCTTTTTGTAAATAATCCTACACAATCAATAATGTAAGCATACATATTTTCATTTTATTTCTAAATTGAATCCACTCATTGTGTTCATTTTAAGTTTGCATTTACAAATTTTCTTAGCAAATGAATCAAAGCTTGAGAAGACATCCTATGTGTACTTTTCCCCCCTAAAGATTAAAAAAAAAAACTGCAAGCGGTTATCAAACCGTCGTATATCTATGATGGTACCAACATCTGGAATGAAAATCGAAAACCAGCTACCTCATCACCCGAGTTCACGAACTTCGGTGTCCAAAGGGATTTCTTAAATGAGGTCAAATGAGTTAAAATACGTGCCTCTCATCTTTGCACTAGAGATGGTTATTCTACCTCTTACTATCATAAAGCGGAAATGCATCTTGAAATGGACCACATCCGCACCTTACACTCGATCAGTCTCAGCATTTTCTGTCGTACACGCAACTTGATTTAGAAGGACATTAATTGGAATTGTTGGGCGTACCTGTGGAAGGGTATCACATGAATATCCAACAGCGGCCGGAAGTGACAATAATCTGCCATAAAATGCTCATCTTACATATGGTAACTAAGGGTAAAACCTCCTGTACATTACTATAGCCTATTATGCCTCCAACATATGCAATTTTTGCCTCGTACTTCCACTCTACTCCTGGGACAAAATCCGCATGAAATTTGGGAAGTTTACGACAACCATTTTTTTTCGGGACGACCCATTTAAGAGATGACCCGGAATTAAATAAAACACGATCAAAATATCATTGACGTTCTCCCATTCAATGCCTTGAGCATTCACAAATTTCCCACACACTCTGACATGATATACCGAAAATTGTATTGAATTTTGTCCAGAACCGTTGATAACCAATATTTCTGAATAAAACAACTTCATGAGGAGATCATCAGCAACAATTGAATAAAACATCCGACGGAAGAAAAAGACTAGAACAAAGCCTAGATCGACGAACGGCTGCACCACACGAAAACTGAAAGAATTGAAAATTAACACTGTGTTTCCAAGGCATAAAAAAAAACATTGCAAGAGTCGATTCGAAAACACCAGATCCTTTCATCCTTGATTGACATTAATCAAAACTTCAATTAAAAAATAAACAATACAAACGACTGGAAACAAACTATTTCGCATTCCAAGCACAACAAATGTTTCGGTCTGCATACGAACAGCTGGTTGATCGAGTTCAACACCCGTAAAGGATCAGCACATCATCCGCTGCATTCCTCCGCATGCTCGTCCCAATCCTTGATCTGTCGGTCAATGATTTTAAATACTTTGTCGATTGAATTCAACATTTTTCAAGGACCGTCAACAAGCAACCGGTCTCTTTCCTTGATGCAAATACATAACTCCGATATAAGATGCACCACCTTTTACGAGTAGATAATTAATGTAAAGCATTGTACACCGGATCGCGTTTCTACACGTGGCTCTTCGTCGCTTTACCAATAAAACATGCGATAATAATTCAGTTCAAAAAATTTTACCTGGCATTCTCGAGAGCAATACCATTGAGAATTGCAACCGGCACAAACAAATTGTGCCATTCGCTGCTTGCACCCGTGACAAGTCGGATGTCCATCCTGCTGAGGTTTATTCTCTTTAGGCTTCGACCGCTGCGAAAAAAAAGAGAATAATATTAAATTAAATAAAAATTGGTTTCGTTTCAGGTAAAACAACGCTCATTAGAACGATGAGGCATCTTTCCGATATCGGAACATCAGCATCAATTATGTTTTACATTACACAATGTGCATCCAAGTCTGAAAATCAAGTGGGTAATTCAACGACTGGAATTTATCCAACAGGAATCGAGGTTGTTACGTGCATGTGTTTTCGTCTTGTTTGTTAGAGAGGGCCACTTGATACTTCGGAAGGTCGATCATTTACCCAGATTCTTAGTTTCTCGTCGTTGACCATGGCTTTTTCACACACTGTATGTTCGTTGAAAATTTTATTATCTAAAATCATTGAAGGGATTTTGTCCACTCCATAATAATTTTTTATTCAATTTTTCTCGGCTTGAATTAAGAAAATAAGGTAATCTGTGAAAATGCTCAACACAGTTCAGTGGTTATTTTAAGGGATAAGAGCAAGACTGCTGACATACTAACCTGTGAATTTTCTAATAGAGAAGATAATGAAAGATTCGCATTTCCGTGGTCCTGATTGCCAGAACGCGCCTGCATCGTGACTGAGGCATTTCTTGAGGCTGCTGTAGCCACTGCTGCCACTGCAGCAGCCCCATGAGCCGCTCCCAGTCTCATTGCATTCTGCATGTGCGGAGACCCTGGTCCAAGAGTGACCGTTTTTTGAGGGTACGGTGGCGGTGGACCACGCAGGTTCCCTTGACCAGATGCTGCTGCCGCAGCCATCATTTCGTATACGTTCGCTGCTGTTCCTGCAGCGTGCTGTTATAATGATGAATTCGCTGATTTAAATTCATATCAACGAGGATATACAAAATTAGTGTCCATGTGAGTCGGACTGTTTCGGAAAACACTTGAAGTAAGTACAACTGTACTAGTGAAGACTTTTCGTGTTCATTTAGATTCCTCGTTCGCATTGAGATTATGGGAGTCCAACCGATTCAGAACATACTCATTAAATTTGATTTCCTTCATCATGATGATCAGTTATAATAGAGAAAAATAAGTAATTACAACGGATGACCACGGCAGCAAAAAAATAGTTCTTCTCGTTTTATGTTTCAAAAAGTCAGGGAAGTATGGGCGTCGATTGACCATATGAAAAAAATATTTAATCTGAAAATAAACTGTAAAATATTGAACCTAACGAAACGAAATAGAGTACAATTCAGGGACCAAACCTAAAAAACAAAAACCAATGACTCGGAGGGGGGGGGGGGGGGGGGGGGGGGGGAGGGGGGGG